TGAACAGGGAGGCAGCCCTACCCATAGCAGAGGGTTGGGACTGGATGGGTTTTAAGCTTTCTTTCTATCTGACCTCTTCAGGAGAAAGCAGTGAGTTAATCTTTTCACCCTAGGCCAGTAGCCTACCTGTTAATTTATTGCAGCACCTCCAAAATAAAATAGTTTCTACACCACTTCTATTAGTTACATTTTACATTCTTACTGAAATACTATATGTACCAGAACCTCAGTGATCTCTCATCCCAGCATTACCATGACCAGGAATAGAACATGAACCCCAATTTGAGCCTGAATGCTCAAAACAAAATCTGCAGGCAGCGCCCAAAGTAGAACTGCTTTTAGGATGTGATTTTCACAGAAGATGCAAATCAACTCTATAGCAACCTTCTAATGAGTTGGAAGTGTATTTTAAACTTTGTCTTCTTTTCCATCTCCTTTATTTTTTTAATATTTTCATCTCACTCATGTCAAAGGTAGTAGTACATGATATTTTCATTGTCTTTTCTATTCAGTAAATTTTTATTGAGCTCTGGAAACTGCAAAATGTGTCCAAGAACTGCTTTGCCTGCCCTTCTGTCCTCTCAGATGCATTGCCCAGTTTTGCACATGAATACTTAAAAAAAAAGTACGTCATCTACCTTGCTTTCTATGAACTAGCATGTATGTTAGACTATTAGAAAATATTCAGCTCTCCTGTCCTAACACACTTTGGAATAAAATCAATTTTAAAAGCCTCTGATGTGGCTTATGGGAAGAAAACAATCTTTATTAAAAACTAGCTACTCTCCAGACAAGGGAACAAAACATCCTGCACTACAGCAGTACTGAGAAATGCTAGTTTTATTTAGTTACTTGCCAGAAAAAAAGAAAAAAGTTACTTAAAAAGACTTAAAGTATAACTTTAAGGCACAGGTATTTTAAGTACTAATGAAACCCCATAGCACTACTCCCCCACAGCAGAGCTGGGCAGCAATAGCAGCAGGTCCCATTGATGGTCCTGTGATCACCAGTATAAGCTCAGAAACAAACCGGGTGTGTGGTCAATCCATACAGCAGCACAGGGACAAGGCTGGGCACTGGGACTCCACAATGGGCACAGGCCATGCTGCAGCATCTCTGGGTGGGTGGGGGTTAGCCTCAGGCAAGGGCAGGAGTAGTAAGGGCTGATGGCTCTCCCAGTACCCAAACATATGATGAAGGAGGAGGCAGGTTGTAGACTAACAAAAACACCTGCACCTTCCACAGACAGTCCTGTATCTGAGCAGCCCTTGAAGAAGATGCTTGGCCATTGTCATGAAAATGGGACAGCGTAAGGTTATGTCATTCTGTGCTTACAAACACTGATGCAGAGTGTGAGCTTTGTGAGCAGAAACTTTCTATTACATTAAAGAGGCTTGTTATTCTGTTCTCCGATAATTTCCAAAGGATAAACAGAGTTTAATCACAGTGTGAGCACAGAAATGTGTTTGCAGCCATTCAGATCATTGGGACAGAAGAAACAGCAACGCATTTATCTCTCCACCTAGTGGAAAACATGCAAGACATTTCTAGCTGCACTAGAGAAGCCTCTGGCTCCATCAGAACTGACAGCTGTAGCAAGAACAAAGGCATTTAAAAACTCCTCCAAGCAAAGCAGAAGTTTCTCTTGTAGCTGCATCCTTAAAACTACACAGATTTACATTTAACCATAGGTAACGCTATGAGGCAATGAATGCTCTAAATTGGGATTCCTACCAAAAAATGTAAAGGTGCATGCATCAGAGAGAGGACATCTTATAAGCAGAGGTCAGTGTGACTGCATCACCAAGGATAACTGATAAGAAAAATTAAACAGATAATTCTCTGAGTAGAACAAAAACCACCACATAGTTTAAAATATTCACTTGAATTCCAGATCAGTGTAACAATGTTTAAAAACTGGGCATGGTCCACTTCACACACTGTGTATTAAGAACATTTTCTAAGGTAAATATTCATTTCTATAATGAAATATTTGAAAATGGAAGTCAAATGCTATTGACTGAATGTCACCCTGAAACCATGTTAATCTCCCCCTCTATTTCCTCAGTACAGAATATTCTGAGACCAAGTTGACAACTTCCAGCACACTATCAAGTAAAAAGTAACCAGATAAAAATCAGAAACTGCAAATTTTGCACAGGATGCTGCTATTTTGTCTTCATGTTCATATATAATGCAGAGTGACATCTATACCTCCTTTGTCTAAATTTGCTGCAAGATTCACACAGATGCTACAAGTATATCTAAGTAGTACATACATATTGAGAGGTCAACTTGAGAAAGTATATGGAAAGACTACAAAGCTGCTTTTTCCAGAAAAGAAAAAAAAATAATAATCTTTTAGATTAGAAAGTACAGTGACAGTAGCAGGGTAGCAAAGTCCTTAGCTACAACAAATGAGAACAAGCCCAAATGCAGCAGCCAGGGACACAGAAATGGAAGAAAAATTGCTTACCTTTAGAAGGCCTCAGACAAACACAGACATCCATGGAGACACTCTTGCCTTCACACAATGTCCCAAGTTGGAAAGGATCCATAAGGATCACTGAGTCCAACTCCCGGCTCCCCACAGAACCACTCAAAAATCAGACGATAAATCTGAGAGCAGTGCCCAGACACTCCTTGAACTCCAGCACTTGGGGATGGACTGCTGCCCTGGGCTGCCAGTTCCATGCCCACCACCCTCTGGTGAAGAACCTTTTCCAACACCCAATCTGACCCTCCACTGTCACCAGAAAGCAGAAATCAGTGCCTGCTCTTTTGTTCCCCCTCATGAGGAAGACGTAGGCCACAATGAGGCCTTCCCTCAGCCTCATCTTCTCCATGCTGAACAAACCAGGGGACCTCAGCAGATCCTCACATCTTCCACTCCAGACCCTTCACCATCTGTGTAATCTTCTTTTGGATGCTCTAGTTTTATGTCCCTTTTGTATCGTGGCACTCAAAATTGAACACAGTACTTGAGCTGAGGCCATACTAGTGAAGTGCAAAGTGGAGCAGTCACTTCCCTCAACTAGTTGGCAGTGCTATGCCCAAGATATGAAAGATATGGCTGGCCTTCCTGGCTACCAGGGCACACTGCTGGCTTATTTTCAATTTGCTGTTGACCAAGCCCCCCAGATCGCTTTCAACAGGGCTGTTCTCCAGCATCTTATCTCACAGTCTGTATGTATAACAAGGATTACGCCTTCCCAGGTGCAGAATCAGACACTTGCTCTTGTTCAACTTCATGCAGATGGTGATGGCCCAGCTATTTTGTCTATTTCTCTGCAAGGCCTCCCCATCCTTGTCATCAGCTCCTCCCAGTTTCGTATTGTAAGCAAACTTGCTCAAAACAGCTACTAGTCCTACATCCATAGGATCATAGAATGGCTTAGGTTGGAGGGGCCCTTAAATATCATCTCATTCCAACACCCTTGACACCAAAGTAATTTATGAAACTGTAAATGCTTCATAAAACTCATACATATGTATATATTTGCTTTGCATATAATTCTTTTATTTAAGGGTTTTGGAACTAAACAGTAATATTTTTTTTCTACCTGCTCTGTTTAAGAAACTTGAAATTTTCAGTCCTCTGTATGTATTCAAAAAGACAAAAATAACTCTCCGGAGGGATTGTTAGGATCCAAATTAAAAGCCTAATTGGTGCCTATCTTTCACAACTAATTATTTCTTCAAGCTCTGTCACTACAAGATAACCATAATTAGACTTAGATCTAATAATGATCTTAGATATTAAAATTTAGTGTAAAAACTACTCCAACAATTACTTATCTAATGTGAAAACATCAGCCTTCCCAAATAAAAACAATTGGGTAAGTTTAAGAGACAACAATTTTTTTAAATTATTATTATCTATTCCTAGCATCTAGAACACGCAACTACCAAGCTGGTTTTAAGTATCTCACAAGTTGATTCCAGTTATATTCATTCATGGTGGACATCTATTACCTGATTTAGTGTGTGCACAATTACGTTTTCTCATTCCAAAACCTTATTGATCCTTCTCAGTAGTGTTTTAACATGGCAGTCCAAAACAATGTTTACTTTTTTTTTATATGGCTCTCCATTTCATAAGTCACCATCTCAGTCTTATTCTATATGAAATGAGATATCCAGAAACAGCTAATAGAATTCAGAAAATTCTCAGTTATGAAATATGAACTTCTTCATGTTTTGGAAGCATTAGAATCCTGAGAACACTTTTCTAGTTTTGTCTGCCTACTCCAACAAGATAATTTTGTAATACTTACATTATCACAATTTTTTCTACTTGTAATTCCTCAGCAATCCATATTTAGTCCTTTTTATTTCTGCTTTTATTGCATTGTCAAGACTGAGATAAACAGTATTTTTTTCAGCTGTCATTCATTTTCCAATCAAAACAGGGGGAATGTTTAACTTGCTTCATGTGAAGAAAAAAATTTAGAATAGAATTAATCCAGTATTTCTCTGACAGACAGAATTTAGATAATAATTAACAACAATACAGTCAGTGCTAAAACATTAGCTAGACACAGGTCAAGGTATATTTCTCCTTTATCTTCGTGGTATTGTTTTCATTTGTTTGTTTTTCCAGATATTATAACAATTTTTATTTATTTAATAATAATGACATTATTTATAGTGTTTTAGGAGAAAGGGCAATAACATCATCATGAATTACTGCATACCAAAGTTTCGTGGAACTGCTTAGGTGCATCAGGCCTGCAATTCAGTAATCTTCTATGCCTTAGCAAATAAATTAATATACCTATGCATTCTATCTTACACTGCTTCTCCTACTGTTACTTCACAGTTCTTGAGAATAATTAAGAAAAGTGAAAGTATGAAATATTAGCAGATGTGTAGTTTCCAGCTGCTGTTACACTCTACTTTCCATGTTTAGCTTTTGTCATTAACTTTTTTCAATCCTTTTCACATCATCTTTGTATGTGCGAACTCTTAAAGTGAAGAACTTAACCGTGTGACAAAAGCAGACTAAGCAAAAGCTGTTTAATATCTTCTATTTATGAGTAGAGTCCATCAAATTTTAGCCATTGACTGAAGAACCTAAAAACAGGAGAACCGTCTTCCTTAACACTTTACTAAAAGAGAAAATAAGACACATTAGAAAAGTTCTTCAACTCAAATCAGGCACCCAAATTATCCTGTGGGGATCAGTCCCTCTTTGCTCACTTTCAAGGGTGTACACAGTCTTTGAGTACATAGAGAAGAAGTGTAATAAAGAAAAATAAATCAGGATAGTATTATTTCAGGCATTAGTCAATAGCTCCAGTAATTCTAATACTTTCAAAGATCTCCAGGGATCTTCAACAGGAATCTGAACAAGCTCCTGGGTGATCTGCTTCAACGGGACAGGGTATTTGGAGGAGATGACTTCCAGAGTTCTTTTCCAGCTTCAGCCATTCACTGAATTAGTTAATCAATATTGGAGCAGGTTAAGATAGTCAAGGGCTGCAAAAAGCCGGCAGGTATCAGAGAGTTTACCAAGAGTTTACCAAGCAATCATATAGAAAAGCTGTTTTCCATAACTGAAAGATGCGTGCAATAGACCTTTTCTCTTATGGTTTAATCTTCTTTATACCTCACATCTTCTTCTGTAAATACTAATTTATTTTCTGAGCCTTTCTGTGCTCTCAGAGAAGTCAGCAGATGGTGAAATTAAGTTCAACAGTAAAGAGGCATTACTTCTGTCAGGTAAAGTGAGAAAACCTTTCTTCTTTTAGTTTGTTGGTTTTTACTTATGCGATACACATGGTATAACAGTTTTTTTTTTTTTTTTTTTACTGATTCTTTCTCTCCTTCTCACCCCTTTCTTCTGTCTTCTTTTTTCCATACTTTTTCTAACTATCTCATTATTATCATATCATGCTTCCTAATAGTGCTGTATCATTACATTACATTACATCATTACATTAGTCTATCCACATTTGATTTGTTGGCTTTCAAGGCTAGTAAAACACTTTCCCCTAATAGTAAATTAGAACATTGAGAATCCTAGTAATTACAGACTATGATTTTGTAGTGATGTATTTTCTAGTATATGCCACATATTGTGTCTTACTTTGGAGCTTCTAGGTGCTTTGGCTTAAGAAAGCAAAAACAAACAAAAAAAATCCAACATGCAAAAAAACAGAATCAAAACAACAACAAAAAAACTTGTATGCATTTAGAATTACTGTTATGTGGAGTGCATTAGCTGAAATTTACAACAGTTTGTTGTTGTGAAACAAAAAATTCTTAATATTTACTTCTTTTGTTGCACTAAGTACAACAGCAGAAATATATAATCAGAAGCATTCCCAATAAAACCCAGATGAACGCTGGCTGCTTTCTTTCCTCATGTACATTTATTTTTTACTTGTTCAGCACAGTTCAGAAAGAAGGAAAAAAAATGAATTTACAGAAGTATTAACATTGTCCTTGGACCAAGCCTATGTCTGTATATTGGGCATATTATCTGAGTCACCAGTTAAATACCCTAGAAAAATATAAATGTAAGTTATAAATAGTATTCTGTGGATGGGCCAGAAGCCATAAGATGCTCTAGAGAATGTGAGCAGTGTGCCTGGACCATTCAAGCACAGCAGTTAGGAGAGATCCTTATGCAAACTTTAGGTTTTAATGGCAGTTTTGAGATTATTTTTTTAAAAGTACAATGTAAGTCAGAAAGAAATCTGTTACTTGCTGAACTTCATAAAAAAAGTTTAAGTACAAAAAAGAAATCAATTTATTTTTAAAATGTCCTTTTCTAAGCAAACTTAAAGTAATTAGGTGACAAAATACATTCTATGGACAAAGAATAGTTCCTCTTGCATCAATGTTAAGAATAAGCAAGACAGAAAAATAAGAATTGCAGAATCATCTGAACAAACCTATATTGGTAATAGTTCAGATGCAGCTGGTTTGGAAAATGCAATGCAATTTAAACTCTTGGTCAGCTTGGACTCTAGTGCCACCTGCTGAAATAACAGCCAATACACAATTTAAATTCATCAACAGCATTAAAAAGCAATGCATGAAGAAAGGTCACAAAGAAGATGAACTGCTTGAGTAATCTAAATGCACATCCAGAGTGCCATACATGAAACCAAGTAAACTGAGAACCTTCTCTTGAATGATGTCAACCTGCTCTGAAGGGCAATAGTCATCCAGACTTGATCTGTAACAAAGATTTGAAAAAAGAATGAGAGTATGCTAGTTTGCATTCAAACAAATAATTATTTTAAGCACTGGTAGAAAAAAAATGGAAAATTCCAACTCTGTGGCTGGCACAGGAAAAACAGCTTTCTATTATTTTAAGTATTAGCCACACTACTGTTCTTGACAAGAATTATTTCAAGTCAGATACTGGCATTGCTGCCTGTATTTTAGGGATACTTAGTGTTCTTCAAATGAGTAAGTTGCAATAACTTGTCAGTAGATACACTGTGGTCTTCAAATTAAATTCTCTCAGGACTGGATTTCTGGCCCTGGCCTCAAACTCTGTTTTGTCCTCCTAAATAATCCCCTTGCAGTCCCAGAAGCACAAATTTTACTCTATGCAAAACACTTTAGATTTTTCTACAATATGAATACCTTTCAGACTATTAGATGAAAACTTGTCGCAGTTCCATCAGAAATTTCACTAGAAACAGAAATCTTACCTGAAGTGCAATTAATTCTAGACCAATAGTGGGAAAGGCCATGCAGGCACTATCTTAACAGAAACAATGAAGATAATACAAACCACAGTGACAGCTATCCTCTGCACCAAACAAGGCTACATAAAGCCTTTATACAGCCTACAATGAAGGTTAAATCATCATGTCTTCATTACTGTTGATATCTGTGCTGGACACTCTAAAGCCCAGTAAGACTGGACATCAGCACAGAATCTTCCCTCAGCAGTATAGGTATTATCACTGTCTAATGATTCATGCTTCCAAATGCCAATTTTTACTACGCTAAGATTTTCTCTTGGAGATAGAATTTCTTTTGAAGACAAGTCAACCGATGCCATAGTCACAGAATCATTTAGTTTTGCAAGCACAATCTGAATTTTTTTGAGTAAACAAGAACCTACAGTCTTACCGAGCAATTGTCACAAGCGTGGGCTTAGGCATGTTTTTCAGCAGAATCTTCACAGACTGTAAAAGGCCTTCAATCTCCTCTTTGGTGCTAACATGATGGGGAAGTTCAACATAATCACAGGTCAGGCCAGCCTGATGGACCTACAGACAAATTAAACAGATTTTCTTTTCTGTTGACAAATTAGTAATATAGCTTATCTGTGTAATAAATCCCTAAACTACTCCAGCCCAGCAGGTAACTTTCACATCTTCAGGCACGAAGCTTTTCTTCAGATAGTAGTTAAAAATAAAATAAACAGACCCTGATGAAATGAAACCTTACATCACAGGAAGCAGCTTGAGACATGAGAGTCCTAAAGATCTTATTAATGTTGCGTAAGTATAGACAAGCATAGTAAAATTTCAGAAGCTTTTAAAAAAGCTGCCTAAGCAATAACATTAAAAACAACAACAAAAAAAACAAAAACTTAAAATGTTTGAGTCAAGAAGCAAACCTAAAATTAAGTATGTCCTTTTCCCTGCTTGATGAAGTTATACTTTTGAAATTAATTACTTTCTACTCCTTTACCCAGTCACCTACCATTTCATAGTCTGGGCTCTCCATTCTGCTTTTCAAACTGTGTACTAATTGAACAAGTGGTTTGAATCTGGAGTTAAAAACAGAACCAAAACTTACGTTAGCAGTTGGAAACATACATGTGGAAATTAAAAAAAAAAATAACATAGAAGTTAACATGTTGTTCCTCGTCATCTTGCACCTGAGAAAAATGGAGTATCAGTATCACGTGCTGTTTCAACAGATCTTCCTCAAGAAACCCCTATATTCTTATCTACGCCACACACAGCTGCTTTGCCTTTCTTTTAGGGCAACCTAGAGAAAAGCTATTGCAACTCAAAAGTAATGTACTATGATAAGAAATGCTCCTGGTCATTGTTACATGGGTCTGGCAATAACTGATGTATGATTCTGTTTGCACTGCTGACTCTGCAAAGAAAATCCAGTAGGTTAAGTCTGGAAGACTCTTTGCAGCACTACTTTTGCAACAGGTCAGGAATGAGAGCCTCATCTTCTGTGCTCCAGAAAGGCTCCCAAGGAAGGAGAGGTGGCACGAAAAATCTCACTGGCACTGGGAAGTGGTTTCTTTTATTGCAGTAGAGAGCTGAATCTTAGAAAGGGAAGGAAGGTAGTAACAGTGAGTTCCACAGGAAAATCAAAACCTACTCCTACTAGTATGGAAAAGGTAAAGGTCTTTCAGGAGAGGTGACTGTTCTAGTAGTTTTAGCAGGAAAGAATCAACAAGAGGCTTATTTATTTGAAATGTTGTAATCCCAACTTACTTAAGCTGACCAGGAAGGGTTCCAATATGGTGGTAATAAAGAAGAACACTTTACTGCTAACTGTGTCACCAGTTCAGGAAGATTCTTCTCCAAAGGCTACAGGAATAAACCAACGACGGGAGTGTTTAAGCCATTTAGAGATCTCCTACCCAGGATAGGAAGCCCACTTCTGTAAGGTCTCTTCATCATCACTGTCACAAAAATCTGCAAACGCTGCTTCTAGATCTTCTAGCTGATGAACACGGTTTTCAACACAGTCCAGCAAATCCTCCTTTAAATATGCATGTAAAAAACAAAAGAGGTAAGAATGATTCTCCTAGCTAAATCATGGCTTACACTACCAGTCAAGCTTTTAAATGGTTCATCTCATGTAAAATGGGAAAACAACTAGCTCTTTGCTACAGGGCATCTCTCTTCAAGATGATCTGAATGACTGCCTGCAGAAATTAATTAGGTACCTTCTGAAACAACAACAACAACACAAAACACCACTTCTTTCTCCTCTGACTTTCCTATGAAAGACCACATCTGTGTTGTAGTAGAATACATTAAGGAGAACAAAAAAACTATATGATTAATTGCTGGATTTGTTTGTATAGCACTGAAATGCTGCCATATTTGATTAATTTATTATGAACATGCAGGGACTCAGATGAATGCAAGCTTTACGCTTTTGTAATGAAATGAGACCTTCATATTTCAGGTTTAAAAAAATATTACTAAAATAAATTTAAAAAAAAAAAAAAAAAGCAAAATGAATTAGCTGAGGTTTTAAAGTTCTTTCATGCCTGAAAGAATTTGGGATTAATTTAAAATGGTTGCTACAGCTCTGATCCAGCAAAAATTTAGGCACTGTTTTAAAACACTCTGAGCATATGAAGAGGCTGTCTTCATTAAGTAGGGTTACATACATGCGTGCATACAGCTGTGCATGTAAATACTGCAGGACACACAGCACATGAAGCTAAAAGCAATGCTTAGCCTATTTGGTATAACAGATGCTCAGTGCAGTGATATATGAAGGTAAATTATTAAAAAGCACAATGGTATAAATATAACAATTAAGAACATAGATGTTCTCATTTTAGAGGCTGCTTCTTTTTGCCAGTGATGTCAACTTCATGTTAAATTTAAAGAAAAGCTAAGGGTGTTAACCATTCCTGAAGTACACCTTATGATCCTGGGGTATGAGTAAGACATCTTTCTATGTGCACCAGTAATCAACCTTAAACAGTCAATCCCTACACTACTTAAAACAAAAACCCCAAACAGTATTTTCTTTGACTATAATAGTATGACAGAAATATAGATCTAATTGTACAATTAAATAAATAAATAAAATGCCAACTAGGCATTTAGCACAACTCTGTCTATAAAGGAAGAGCAACCTGGGCAAGGAAAGGGAGACCCAGAAAGGCAGGGGGAAGCACAACACCAAAAAACCCTGTTGAATCTTGCAAAGAAACACAGCAGATGATATGTTATGTTTTCATTTGTCTTGTCAATTACCATTTGTTTGCAAGAATTAATCTTTACATTTGTGTTAAATATTTACACACTTAAATGTTAAAATGTTTAATACAAAAGAATTACTAAGACACTGCTGATTTGTGTTCAGCACACTGCATAGCTTAATTAAAGTCTACTTCATTAAGCATCTTTCATAGATTCCTTCTTTATGCTAAGTCATTTTTATTTTGTAAATCAAAAGAATAATTCCTCATGTATCTCACAAGAAATACCATACCTCTGTTGCATTTCTGTGAGGTTTCTTGAACTTGTACAATTCCTGTAAGAGCTCATATTCTGTCTTTGAAAAAGGAGAAAAAAAAAATTAGTTTCTTCAAGTGGAAATCAAAAACTTCAGAGCACTGCACTTTTGGAAAACAGAACAAATTTGAACATGATAATTTCTCTACTCCAATACTGCAGATAAACAAATCTTATTATTCATTTAACACCACTGAAAAGACAAACAGAAGACTTTTTCAGGAGTAGAAGAGGGAAGAAAGGGCAAACTAAGAGGTCATTGAATTTTACAGAAATATAAAGCATCTCTAGCAAAATATTTTGGATTTTTTTTCATGTGTGTAAAGAGAACAATCTTCTGAATTCACAAGCCATATTTGCTTTTTAGTTTATCCTTGGGTTCTTATATTCCAAGTATGAACTTGAGCAACATGCTCTGATAGAATGATTGCATTTTACAATAGAGGGAACAGAGGTAAGAAATATTAATGGCAAATGAAATTCTTATCAGTAAAGGAGCTCTGTGCAAGCTCATTTCCAAAAGTGGTTCCTAAAACTGAGAACTTAGCACAGTACAAGAAAATAAAAACCACCTCCCAAATAAACAGATCAACCAACAAGACTCTTCCATGGCTTTATGCAGAATGTGCATAAAGGCCTCGAAGGGTTCATATGTGACAAGACCCCCACGGTGCTTCTGCTTTGCTTTATGCTTCCTTTGTGATTCTAAATTCTAAATGATTAGTGTTGGTGATAGTCTGATGGTACCATGATTGTAAAGATTCAATGTCAGAAGCTAACAGAGATGAGGACCGCTGTACTTATTTCTACACAGCGAACAAGGAAGTAGTGTGGTATTCCAGCTGAAACTCTGAGAAGTCAGATGTTCTCCAGCATAGGCTGAGATTAAAGTACCTTTAAAGAGAAGCTTAGCCACCACAAACAGTTGTGATATTGCAGAAGAATTTGAAAATTGTAAATCTTTAAAAAAGAATTTGCATTTAGTGCTACATGCAATTTTCAGGGCAGATTAGCTAGTTCCTAAAAATCACGTTCACATCAAGAAAGCTTCCTAACTGCTCAGCAACTCTGAGAATCTACATATTTATAACACTGCACAAGAGAGGTATCTTTTGTGTGCAGTCAAGTTATAAACTGAACACAAGGCATTGTCTTGAGCTCAGTGCCATGGCACCAGAGACAAAACCTGCTTGTTCATTAGCCCAGTCAAAGGAAATTATTTACAGTCTCTCATTGAGAGGAGTCACCACTCTTTGAATAATCAACACCATGATATCCTTTGGACAGTCTGTTTCTGATACCATTGTGGCCTTCTAAAAGCATGTTATGGGAAAGGGTGAAGAGAACAATCTCTCACCTCTCCCAAATTAATCCTGATGCAGGTATTTGGAACATTACCTGTAGAAAACCAAGCATGGCTTTTATGTTCTACACAACACACAGAGGTATGCCATGTATCTCTAAGCTTGAACGTGCACTGAATATCCATTTCAAATGTAAGGACCTAATCCTGCTAGGTTGCTTTGCTTGTTAGTATATGTTCCTTTATACTGTCTCCCTGTCAAATATTAGTATAATTCATTAGTTATGACCAGCTGATCCACTAATTTATCTTAGAAGAAAGTTCCTCCACAGACATCAAGTGCTAGAAGGATGAGTATTCTTTTATGAATGGTAAGGGAAGTTTCCATTGTCATACTTACCTTTGTGTACATTTCTTTAAATGGATTCTTAACTGAAAAAAAATCTAAGTCAATGTCTAAAACAAATGCATTCCCATTCTGAAGAACTTCGCAGATATCTTTAGCAACCTCCCTTATTGGACATTCATTGTTTCTTATGGAGCTTGAAGCTGAGCATTCTGGCAACATTTTCGCCCTGTTCAGGGCACTTGCATGTTGTACTTCCTTGTTCTTCACACTTGAGAAGTTGCTATCGTGGTCACCAGGAGCCACTGATGAAGAGGTAGCAGCAGTGTTTGCTGTGTCATCTGTATTTAGCTTCAGTCTCTTAGTGGATGCTTCTTTGTCATTTTCTTCCTGGCTGTTTGATGCTTCAGTAGGATTAATGAGAACGACATGTAAATTTAAAGGCTTTGGATTTTCTAGCTGATCAGTGGGGACATAAAGACCATCACTTAAAAAGTAATGATCTGTACCTGTAACCCTACAATAGACAATAACTCACAGTTAATACACATCTTTGTAAAAAGCTTTGCAAATAAGTCACCAAAAGAAAAATGAATTAATGTTTGATAGGTAGCAAAAGCAATAAAACTGTGCATACAAAATTATTTACTTTAATCTCCAAGTATTTAAATGGGATTTTTTTCTACCTCTTCAATGCTAAATCAATATATTAAAATTCATTCTGGAATTTTGATAGTAGTCCTGTAAGATTTTTTAGTGGGTAAGAAAGATTTATGTTATGTGCTATTAAGATTAACGTGCCAATGAATTGTATCTTACATCAATAATTTGACAAGATACAATCAATTCTATGGGATAATAATACAAAGCACTGGATATTTTGCCTTCAATCACTTTTTTCTTTGTGAGGAAAATCATTATGGTTGCATTTGAGAAGTGCTCTGGAACCCATGGATGTCAATAAAACATGGATTAATATACAGCATTTAACTGCTTTTTACCCTGAAATATGAATCCTTATTCTAAGTGTGAGGAGAGCAGGTAACAAGGATGAATAGCTACATATCCATGGAATCCACTTAATTTAAAAACAGAAACAACAACAACACCAACCCAAAACCTAGAGTTCACTTATAGCAAACAAATAGTACTGTTTTCAAGCCATATTACAACACATTACGCCTTAAGTGCCATAAATTCACAGAATCACAGAATGGCCAGGTTGGAAGGGACCTCACGGATCATGATCTCCAACCCCTCTGCCACATGCAGGGCCACCAACCTCCCCATATAGTCCTAGACCAGGCTGCCCAGGGCCCCATCCAATCTGGCCTTGAACACCTCTAGGGACGGGGCATCCACAACCTCTCTGGGCAGCCTGTTCCAAAACCTCACCACTCTCTCTGTAAAGAACTTCCCCCTGAAATCCAACCTAAAATCCCTCCCTCAACTTAAATCCATTTCCCCTCATCTTGCTGTTATCTATTCTTTCAAAGAGTTGATTCCCCTCCTGTTTGTAGGCTCCCTTTAGGTACTGAAAGGCTGCAATGAGGTCACCCCGCAGCCTTCTTTTCTCCAGGCTGAACAAACCCAGCTCCCTCAGCCTGCGTTCACAGGGGAGGTGCTCCAGTCCCCTGATCATGTTTGTGGTTCTCCTCTCCAACAGCTCCCTGTCTTTCTTGTACTGGGGGCTCCAGACCTGGACACAGTACTCCAGATGGGGCCTCACAAGAGTAGAAGGGGACAATAACTTCCCTGTCCCTGTTGGCCACCCCTCTTCTGATGGAGCCCAGGATACCATTTGCTTTCCGAGCTGGAAGAGCACACTGCGGCTCATGTTAAGCTTTTCATCCATCAAGACCCCCAGATCCTTCTCTGCAGGGCAGCTCTCAAGGACAACTCCTTCCAGTCTGTATAGATGCCTGGGATTCTTCTGGCCCAAGTGCAAAACCTTCAATTCAGATTAAAGAAATAACTTTGAGAGGAAATGTGAACTTCTATGCACTTCTGTTAAGGCCCCTATCAATTACAGGGTATCCCCATCCATCACCACATTCAAATAATTTCAAAAATGGCAGAAACCTGAAGATGAGTTCCCCAGTGTTGGCATCCTGAGGGACCTAAGGCAACCCAGAGGAATAACCTACAGGAATCTCATTACATTCAACTAAGATAAAGAAAAGGTCTTGCATCTAGGACAGAATAACATCGTGCAGCATTACCAGCTTGGCACAGACCAGCAGGATGCTACAGAAGAGGAATGGTCAGTCAAAGTATAAAGCAAAGTGTGCGCAACCAATCCATACACCCCTACAATGATAAAGACTAATTGCAAAATTTCACTGTACTAGCAAGCCCATAACCAAAAGAGAGATTTCACCTTGTATTTAGCACCACTGAGGTCTCATTGGACATATTCTGCCAAGGTCTGGACCCCCAAAACATGTGAGATGTCAACAAACTGAGAGGATCTAAGAGAATGGCTAAGGAAGTTAGAGGACCGGATGGAGCATACAACAAGGGGAAGTTGAGCAAGTGGGCTTGTTTCATCTTGATAAGGGACATTTGAGGAGGATCTAAGTGCTGTTCTGTTACCCCAATCCTCTAAAAAACTACTTTTTTCCTAAGATTTTCATTTTATCAAAGAAAATTAATTGAAAACTTGGCTGAATGCAATGAAGTGTGAATAACTTGAATTACTTTTTTTTTTTTTTTAAAAAAAAAAAGAGACTAAGGCACAACTTAAACTTTATCTCTTAAAACAGTCACATGACACCCCAAAACATTAACAAATACAGGTTGAATTTTCATTGAGAAAAGAAAATGTATCACTATATTTATTAAAAATACAAAATACACGGCACGTAGCTGTTATTCTACCAGCGCTGGATAGAAAACGATTTACCTGATTGTAGTTGTTGATATGTCTTTCCCAACTAAAAAACTGTGTTTTCCCTCTGAGATCTGCTGAGCCCACGGTGGGTGAAGCCACACCACTTGAGAAATATGGCCAGCATAAACAGCAGGCATAATCCAGTTCTCAATACTTAGCTCACTGTAATGATGAGAGAAAGACTGGCAATAACACTTACTTTACCAGCAAGTAAAACATTGTCAAGAACAGCACAAATACCCCCATGCAAATCATCTGAAGTTAACATTCTGTGTACGGGTCATATCACCAAAGAAAAGAGAAAGGATTGAAATCTTGATTTGTAAGAAGAACCAAAAATGTATACAATAAAATTTTAAAAGTAATAATCAATAGGATTATGAAGTGCAGTCAGCTTCACTCTTAGTATGGTTCTTTATTTGCTACATGGACTTCTTGTCTTTCTCTCTGAATATACCTGACAGAGTAGAAGTGCAAGGTGCATCATGAATTCCATTCCACATAATTGACCCCAAGGGAGTATCTTATTGTACGTTGCCCTAAGTAGACTTCAGATATAACCTCAGTTGTGAATGTGAGCCAATCAGCACCTACAGAATAACATCTGTTCTTATCATCCTATTTCTTTATGTATATGATGCAGTCCAAAGGCTTCTCATTCATCCAGCAAAGAAAACTAAATATGGACCATGGGCAGGGTGACACAATTGCTAATATATTGATTATCTCCTCTTCCCACTGCTGTGTACCAGTGAAACACAGTAACAATTAATATTTATTTTAAATCAGGAAATAATAGACAAAAACAGATCACCCTGTTGCCTACCTAAGAAGATAGGGATAAACACTGGTCTTAATTATCATACTCAACTTCACAGATGCACCAGGTCAGCACAAGAAATGTTTATTTTAATCTCAGTCAATTTGTCACCATTAAGAGAGAAAAGCTGTTCTAAAACCTGCAGCTCACTGAAAAGCATCCATTTGGAGTGCTGTCCTATCACTCAGAGGAACTGCCCAATCTGACAATGTGAACTAAAAGTAAATCATGTCTTACATCTTCTTAAAATGCAACATAAACATTTGACCATGCTCATAAAAGAAACATAACAACTTCTTTTATCCAGAGCTATGAAATTTTGTACAGAAAATAAAGAAAATACAGCTTGAGGCTGATTTACACATCTGTTGCTCGTATTTCATATGCAGTTGTATCAATATTCAACAAAAAGCAAGCATAGCAAGAAGTGGACAATGTATCCTGATGCAGCACACGAGACTTACTTAAAAAGTGCTTCTTTGTCAAACACGGTATCTGCAGGCATATTCACAGGGATAAGGAGGTCTGGATGGGAATCAAGGTGAACAAAGCTGATGTTACCAGCAGGCAGATGCTTTGAACCAATTGCACGATAGATGAAAGGCAGCACCTAAAAAAGCACATATTTCCACTGTAACGAATGAGACAGCTATAAAAGCAGAAACACCAGTTCCACTCACGCTCCCTTAGAATTTGGGTTATATTTGAAAGAGAAAAGAGACAGCAAACAATACAGAGGGGTAGCAATCATGTTCATGGGGCACAATTATTGAGCCCTGAGCACGTGAAGCTAACAGAAGATTATGCTTCTACTTCCTTTCCTTCTTTATAAGGCTCTGTATTTGCAGCAACCCTTCTCACTAATCATCCAGCCCCATGACTAGAGGCTTGCTGTTGTTGGGTTTTATCATAGAATCATAGAATAGGTTGGGTTGGAAGGGACCTCAAAGCCCACTCAGCCCAATCTCCATGTACTGGTCAGGGCTGCCAGCAGCAGCTCAGCTGCTCTGGGCCCCATCCAACCTGGCCTTGAGCACCTGCAGGGATGGGGCACCACAGCTTCTCCGGACAGCTGTGCCACTGCCTCACTGCCCTGTGAGAGAAGAAAACTGAACAACAGATAATTTAACCCATCCAGCTTCAAAGAAGGGGTTTAACTCCCGATGCCCACGTGACTTGACTCGGATGTGCTTTTCCCACTGCCCAACCTCATCCTCTGCTGGAGTTCTTCACTCAAGAGCTATCCGCAGATGAAAACAGAACGCGAGCTGACCGCACCACACCGCCACCTCCCCCCGCAAGCCCGGCGCTTCGCCTGACGCCGCCACTCACGTCCTGGTGGTCCTCCACCACCCACACTGGCAGCGCCGGGTACGACCGCAGCCCCCCGCCGCAGGGCCGGGGCCCGCAGGCAGCCGCTGTGCCGCTCATGCCGGGCGGGGCGGTGCTTCCTGCAGCGTTGTGCCCGCCCTGCGCTTTCCTCTTCCGGAGCAGAGGGCCGGGCTGGCCGCGGCCGTGCGGCGGTAGGTGGGATGGGTTGTGTGCCGAGGGTCTGGGGGTGGGCAGGGAGCTTGGAGAGCGGGCTGTGATCCGAGTTCGGGTGTTCGGTGCTGGGCTGCTTTGCTGTCTGTGAGCCTGGGGGAGGCTGTGCTTTGGTGCTCTGTGTGGTAGGAGGAAAGGGGTTCTGTCTGTTATTCTGGGTATTTAGCAGCTGTGAAGGTACTAGAGCCAAAACTGTTCTCTGGCGATCCGGGGAAACCTCACTGTGGCCTTCCAGTGCTTGAAAGGAGCGTATAAACAGGGTGGGGAACGGCTGTTTGCCAGGGTGGATGGCGATAGGACAAAGGGGAATGGTTTTAAACTAACACGGGGAGGTTTATATTAGATATTAGGAGGAAGTTTTTCACTCAGAGGGTGGTGAAGCACTGGAACAGGTTGCCCAAGGAGGTTGTGGATGCCCCATCCCTGGAGGCATTCAAGGCCAGGCTGGATGTGGCTCTGGGCAGCCTGGTCTGGTGGCTGGTGACCCTGCACATAGCAGGGGGGGTTGAAACTAGATGAGCACTGTCATCCTTTTCAACCCAGGCCATTCTGTGATTCTATGAACTTTGGGTTTTCTTGAGAGCCTTTATAGAAGCAAGAGTGCTGGAGAGGTACTGCTGACTGGAAGGGAAAAATCGATTTACCACTGTGGCTGCTGCTTCCTAGAAATGCAGCTTTCTTACTGAATCCCTTGGCCTCTGTTCCCTTTGAAAAGGGAACAAATCCCACCACCAAGACCAATTGATAGGCCAAAGGGGAATGGCTTTAACCCTAAAGAGGGAAGATTTAAGTTAGGTCTTAGGGAGGAAATTCTTCACTTCTAGGGCAGTGAGGTACTGACACAGCTGCCCAGAGAAGCTGTGGATGTCTCGTGTTTGGAGATGTTCAAGGCCAGGTTGGATGAGGCACTGGGCAGCCTGGACTGGTAGTGGCAGCTGTGTCCATGGTGGAGAGTTTGGAACTAGGCAGTCTTTGAGGATGCTTCCAACCCAAGCCATTCTGTGATCTTTTAGGAAAACAAGGCTTGACTACTTAACTGATTAACTTTTCTCTCCATTTCAAGGAAAGCATCATGAGATCTGCTCAGGGACATGATTTAGTGAAAGGTTGTTAGAGTTAGGGTAGTTTGATTAGGCTGTGGTTGGACTTGAAGACTTTAAGGTCTATTCCAACCTGAACAATTCTATGATTCTATGAGTGTTTTTTTAAACTTTATTTTACTGTTTTCTTTTTTTTACCCCACAGGTTTTAAACTTAGGAATTTTAATTAAAGAATGAACTTTATCTTTTGTGAAGCACAGCTGTTTTCATTTATCAGTTAATACAATGCATTACATGTGTGCATAGTTTTGAACACAACTTCAGCCTACTTGAAGCAGTGGCAATTACTGGTAAGATAAGAATTGGATTTATGAATTTTTGGAACTGTTTATTTCATTTAACTTAGAGTAACAGCGTAGTCTACACTGAAAATTTTTATGTGACCTGTTAGATTCTCATCCCACAAAAAGACCTTTGCCTAACTTGAAGTATTGCAAAACATCTGTTGAATTTGTCCCTGTGATAAACTGGGGTGAAAATCATGAATGTTAGTTGCTGTTTAGCTCATTTAAAATGTGTGTGATTTGTAGGACCAGATAACTTGTGATGAGGTATCAGAAAAGTCTTCCTATCTGAACTCTAGAATGATGTGCTAGAGAGATCTCCTCATTTTAGGACCTGGGTGACTGTTGAAGATGCTAACATGATTGGTTTTTATGGTGATACAGGGTATCTGAAGTCTTTATACTGATGTATCTTGTACATACTAGTGGAGCTGCTTGCAACCATAGCCTGTCCTTGCAGTCACCTGTTAAAATTAACTTTGTCCTGAGTCGGGGAGCATGGTCCAGTTGGAGTGCTGGATTAAAGACTACTGGTAAACTACTGTAGAGGATTAAAGACTTAAAGAAATGAAAGGGTCCTAATGATCTGTACTAGAGCTCTGAGAAGTGCAGAGCTCCCACTGAAAGACTGTCATCTTCCACTGCTTCTTTTAAAGGAAATGACAGAAACTAACTTTGCTATTTCAGGAATAGTTCTTGCAAATGTACTGAGGGCCTTCTACAAAGTTTTGTACAATGAACTTTTATATTTTCCTCATTAAAGGTGAACCATGTCTTTCCATTCTGGACGAGGATGTCCCCGTGGGCAGGGGGGACCAGGAGCAAGAACATCAGCACAGACTTATCGTCCTCAGAACCTGCGGCAGCTTCACCCCCAGCAGCCCTCTGTACAGTACCAGTATGACCAGCAAGCCGCACCTCCAGCTACCTATTCAAACCCTTCAGCCACCAGTTACATGCCTCCCAGGCCAGACTTTGTTCCATATCCCCCACCGGTTCCCCCTTCCACACAAAATCCCATCAACCAGTGTCCCATGAGGCCACCATTTCCAAACCATCAGATGAGGCAGAGCTTCCCAGTGCCTCCATGCTTCCCTCCTGCTCCTCCACCAGTGCCAGCCCCTAGCAATGCTCCTGTGCCAGCAACTCCTACCGGACAGAGCACTTTTCCGTACATGATGCCTCCTCCTGCAGTACCCCATCCTCCCCCACCACCAGTCATACCACAGCAAGTCAACTACCAGCCTGTGTATTCCACAGGGTATTCCCAACAGTCATTCCCACCACCTAACTTCAATAGCTATCAGCACAACTCTGGCTCCTTCCAGAGCAGCACTACCAATAGCAGCAGCAGCAGCAGCCATTTTCGTCAGTACCAGGGAGAAAAATCACAAAGTGATCGACGATCTCCAGAGAGGAGCAAGCACTATGATGAGCACCGGCATCGTGAGCACAGTCACATCCACGGTGACAGGCATCGGTCCAATAACCACGGGGATCGTCGGGATCGAGGCCGCAGTCCGGATAGGAGGAGGCAGGAAAGCAGTCGGCACCGGACAGAGTATGACAGAGGAAGAATGTCACCTCATCATAGAAGTTATGAGCGTAGCAGGTAGTGAGATACATTCTGCTTGCAGTGGGAGAGCTGTGGTGGTTGTTCTGTGGTCTATGAGTTTGTGTTCTTTGCTCCCCCTTGTTTTCCCTTCCATTGTGGTATATAGGCAAGTGCTCAGCTCTGATGGAAAGAGCTGCTCTTCTGCTGTCTTTCAGATACGGTTTTTTTTCTTCATCTCTTCAAGCCAGTATACTTGTCCCCCTTATCCTTGATAACAGAGTGGGCTGCTGAGCAGTAATCTGACCTCATTGGGATTTACCATAGAAGTTTATGTTTGTGTGGCTTGACTCAGGTAGCTGAGTGCAGACGGCTCAGTTTGGGATGTATTTTTAAGTTTCTGTCCCTCTGCTTTATAGATGGAATCAGGCTGAGAGCTATGAGCTGACCTTGCACAGTTCGCTGTGCAGTGTTCTAGAGCAAACCATCAATACATTTGCTCTTTTTGTCTAACGATCTAGGTGAGAGTTCACAGAGATACTTGAAAGTAAAGTTTATCAGGGCACCTGGATCACATGCTTCTAATTTTGAAGATCTGGTGTTTTCATGTGTAACATGAATTTATACTTAGTGTCTGTCGTAATGAAAATACTTGGATTTTGAAATGCAGAAATTTAATTCACAACACCTGTGTTAAAAACAAAAACAGCAACAACAAACAAACAGGAAAAAAAACAACACCCACATGTACTAAGTGTAGTTTGTTTTGGTTGATCTTAATCTGATTTTCAAAAAAAAAAAAAAAGATTTTCCCTAAGACTTTTTTGTATGATGAGCATGTAGAATTTTCAGTGTTTTATGGATGACCCAGATGTTTGTCACATAATTTCACAATTTACAGTTTGGATTGAAAAATTCAGTTTTAAGTTTTGAAAGTATGTATTTCCAGCAGTTTCTTTCTCAGAGGTTGGTCTGTTACTGATTGAAGACTACAGTTTCTAGATCTAGTCTACAATGTATCTGTGTATTGTAAAGGCAGTTCTTTCCCTGCCTTGGTATGTCTTTGCACAGCATTTATCTCTCAAGCAAATCAGAAGGCAGTAGGATATACAGTAAATCTACACTTGAGCAAGAATTAGTGGGTGTAGGGAAGACCAGTAGATAAATTATATAAACTTTGTGCTTTGTAAAATTGCATGTTATTTCATGCATATACATGTGGAAACATACATATATTCATAAATGATTCATCATTGCAATAGCCCACAGAATTACCTGAGGTATGTATTTATGATCCCTTGTATATCAGCAGACTCTTTTACTAGGAAGTGTAACAGTTACACATATGATTGTAGAATAACAAATTGTCAGCTGTTAGTCTGGAAAAGTGCCAGTGTGATATCTTTGGTACTTAATGTACCCAGTAATTCCTGCTAACTTCATAGAATCACAAAATGGCTTGGGGTGGGAGGGGCCCCAAGGATCCTGAAGCTCCAATCCCAGTTCTTTATGTTATGTGCAAGTGGAGTCTTGCAGGTGAGGTACATGGTTTTGTTGTGATACAGACCTTGTATGTATCTTTTTTTTTTTTTAATCTGTGTGTGTGTGCACCTCAAGTGACTGTCAGGAGAAAAGGGCTTGCCTGAAATACTTGAGTTACTGCTGTACTTCCAAAGTTGTGTGCGGAATAGGATTTTGTTCCATGCCTTGAGGCAATGAAGAGTGGTTAAAGGTGTAGTAATCTTACCCTTCTCTGTCACCGAAGAACAGGAGGAATGACAATAAGTCCTGTGGTAGATTTCTCAAAGATACCTCTGTGTTGTATGAATTTAAGTATTATTGAGATAGATGACTTTATTAACTGTCATGTCATTCTGAATAACATGATTTCAGTTTGCTTTCAGGTGTGGAACGTATGAAAGTCCCAGATTTCTCATTTAATTTATGTTTTTGAATTCTTCAAGGGAGCGCGAGAGGGACAGGCATAGGCACCGTGACAGCAGAAGATCACCATCACCAGACAGGTCCTACAAAAAAGATTATAAAAGAACAGGAAGGTAATGAGAACACATTTGGTCTCCCTTATTTTTATGAGGGTACGAATGTGTGCATACATAGCAGGTTTGAAACTCAGAGATGAATCTTAGATTTGTAACCATATACACATAGCTACAATGTTACAAATGTCACATAGTTACAAATGTCGTGGTTATATGAAGGCCTTGTAGAATTAGAAGCAGGATGAGTTTCTGGGAACTCCACTGTATGCCATACATATGCTCCAAGTAAGTAAAGTACCAAGTTTGCTTAGAGTCATTTCATGTTTAGATCATGATTTAGGAACTTTTCTTGTATTGATGCTCCTTTCCTTTTAAATCTTGGCAAGTTGAATTCACTGCGACGTATGGGCTTTGTAGACAGAGAAGTTTAAAAAAGAAAAAAAAAAATCACAGCTGGTGTCAATCAAACTGCAAGAATTGGAGTTACACAAGCAATTTGCTTTCTATATAATCCAGTAAAAAGTTACATATTTTCTCATACAAATAGTCTGTAGGCTCTAAGTTGTAGTTGATGGTATAATAGAAGTGCTAAGTCAGGAAGCATTGATTGAGCAACTGGTGGGAAGGCAGGCGAACGCAGGGGAGCTCAGATACTTGCAATGCAGCTGAGGGACTGGAAGGGTGGAGCCAGGATCCCATTCAAGGGTTGACAGTGAAGGCAAGGGTATCTTGCTGGAAATCCTGAGGCTTTCCAAGGGTACACAGATTATTTTTTTTCTTTGTTTCTGTGCCCAGAGCTGCTGCATTGAGCATATCCTCACTTGCTGCGTCTTAGGACTTTGCTACTCTGCTAACATTGCTCTGCTTTCCATCGCATTATAGAATTACAGATGGGCTTCAAAACTGGGGGAAAAGTTAAAAACAGCTCTTTTCAAATTTAAGTAAAAAATTTAATCTAAACTAACATTTTTTTCCGTTTTAATTCTTGAATAAGGTTTCAGAATATGAAAGCACTTGTAATTTTAACTCCTTTTCTAATAAGTCTAAACTTCAAAGTATTTATTACGGTGAAAAGTTAAAAGCTGGAAAAGGCGATTAAACTTTGATGTAATTCATATAGTAGAATTATATGCTTATTGGAAGCTACCTAGTTGTCTTTATAATAAAAAACTAATTGGTTTTGTTTGTTTTCGCCTGTTAAGCCGCTCTCCAAGCAGAGAAAGGAAGAGACCTCGTTGGGAGGAAGAAAGAGAAAGGTGGTCTGAGAGCCAGAGTGGCAACAAAGAAAAAAATTACACTAGTATCAAGGACAAAGAGTCAGAGGAGAATGCATCTGAAAAAAATGAAGATGAAGATGATGAATTACTTAAACCAGTCTGGGTTCGCTGTACCCATTCTGAAAGCTATTATTCAAATGACCCTATGGATCAAGTGGTACGTTCTGAAATTACTGCAAACTGTCCATTTTTGATTATTTGATTGCTCAGTTCATGTGAATTCTTCAGCAGAATTGTGTTCTGTATCATTCAGTGTTGAATCCTCCCAAGCATCTCAGTCTTTAACAACAGAATAGACCTTATAGATCTATTTTCTATTTTCATCAGTTTCTTTAATGTCTTTTTATTCAGATTATTGGTACATGGAAGAGGGGCTTTGTCTTCACAAGAGAGGGTATTTTCTGTTATGCCCACATTTGAGCAAAACTACCTAAATTGCCCTATCTTCCCTTAAATGCTGACAAAGTTTTATGCCGGAGGAAATCTTTTCTTTTTTTTTTCTTTGCCAGTAGTGGTTACTGGAAGGGTAGGGGAGTGGTGTTTGAATGAGGAGGTTTATCTTCATTTTTTTCTCTTCTTTTTTTGAGAATTAAATGGAGGGTGAAATCACTAATTCAAAGTAGGCAACAAAATGGACTAAGTTCTGTGTTTTTAGGGCATGATATGATTCTTGTGAATTGCAAAATATTTGCAAAGAAGGTCTTTTGTTTCTTCTAAATCTGAGCTGTTAGATATTAGTATTCAGCTTTATTAAATGTTTAGCCGCAGTTCTCCTTGGCTTGGCCAATGGTTTGATGATCATTCTCCAACAAATGGAATTCTCTGCTCATTCACCTAATGGAGCAATGTGGTTATACACCTAAGCCTTATCAAGTATTTCTGTACTTCATTTAAACTTCAGCACTGAGATTTGTCTTTTTGCCCACGCTTTTTACTTTGAAACATCGATACACATTGTTCTCTTGTGCCAGCACTGCCTTTGCTTTTTTCCTGTTTTTTAATTAACAGGGGGACTCTACTGTGGTAGGCACAAGCAAGCTCCGAGATCTGTATGAAAAGTTTGAGGAGGAGCTAGGAAAACGACAGGCGAAAGCCAAAGCAGCCAGGCCGCCATGGGAGCCACCGAAGACCAAGCTGGATGAAGATCTTGGTAGGCAGAAATGATAGCAAAGCTTTGAAATGGAGCAACCTATAGATCACCTGTTATTTGGAAGTTGTGTGTTTTTTGGTGATGTCAGTGGGCTAATACCTGTTTTTAAATCCATCCTTTCTAGTGCAGTTCCGTGGAGTTTTATTTTTGACTTTAGTAGAGCTACGTGTTTGATCTAGAAAGCTTAAGGGAAGGAAGAGTATCCAGCACTGCCTTATGCTGAAGTCTCTTCCATGGCATGGAAGTGCCCTGTGTATGGTCAGATAAGTCGAGTACTCAAGAGGCTTTGAGAGCTCACACTCTGTGTTTATAAAAAAGGAAGCAAGGGCAGGGATGATAAACTCATATGGCTGTCTGTTATGGCACTGTATTTATTTTCCTTCTGCACTGTATTTTTGTTGTGTAACTTCTGTTTATTATCATCCTATGCAGATGTGTTAATTTTCCAAAGAGTTTATCTGCATTATCACGGTTCCTATATGGCTCTTCTGCAGTGAAATGAATTTGCTAGCTGTATCAGTTATTGGGGGAAATACTGGTTGAAATAGCAGGGCATACTTTTTGATAACAATTTGAAGTCACTGAAAGCTGTTTTTCTGATTTTGTTTACTGGGAATTGTTTAGTTGTTACTGTATTTCCAGCACTTCAGCATTACATAGTATGATTTTTTTTCTTAACAGCTGCTTACCAGAGTGAATAGTGATAGGACAAAAGGAAATGGTTTTAAACTAACACAGAGAGGTTTAGATTAGATATTAGAGGGAAGTTTTTTCACTCAGAAGATGGTGACACACTGGAACAGGTTGCCCAAGGAGGTTGTGGATGCCCCATCCCTGGAAGCATTCAAGACCAGGCTGGATGTGGCTCTGGGCAGCCTGGTCTGGTTGTTGGTGATCCTGCCCATTACAGGGGGTTGAAACTAGATGATCATTGTGGTCCTTTTCAACCCAGGCCATTCTGTGATTCTGTGGCTGTGAAAGTAAGTTAAGAAATTCTTAGGCATATCACACTGCCTTAGATATTCTGTTGGGCTTGCTTTCTAAGTGATACTTCATATTTGGTTGTTTAGCTGTGTATTCTCTCAGATCTGAACTTAGTAACTCTAGCAATCAAATACCTAAAATTCTTAAGTTGAAATATGGGTATATATAATGACACATTTTAAACTGCCAGCACGTAACTGACTGATAAGATAAAGATGAAAGGACAAAAAATAAACAATAAGATTCCTATTTTATTTAAGCTGTGTAGAGAAAACTCTTCTGAACAGCAGATTTGCATGTTTGAATTCAATCAGGAATCACCAGCAAAGTCTACTGCACGTTTAGCTGATATATTTTCATGTACATGACTGAAGGGCAACACTATTATATTCAGCTTACCTCTGTAAGCTTTACTTGGATCTCCATTGAAAAGTGTTTCTTCTCTGTTCCAGGATTACAGTGATGGGGCCAAGAGCAATGCTGGCTGTTTTTCTTTTTCCATAGCTCTGCATCTGCGCTGGGCCTGTGGCACTGTGCCTGTGCAATCTTCTCTCACAACCATGCTTCTGTTGGGGCTAATAGTTTATTTTATTATGTAGCTAGGCAAATACCCCTGTTGTGCCTTTCATTAGCAGTAGTTGTGTATTTTAGTGAGAGTAGTGTGCTCCGAGGTCATTTTTGATTATGAAAGGCTGATTTGCATACATGAAATTCAAAATTCTCACTGATCTTTCAGAACTCCAGTTCATTCTCACAAGTCCCACGTTATTTTTGCACTTTTTTTGTTAGACTTACACAGCTTGTTAGTGTTTATTGGAGAAGCAGTCCAGGAGGTTTCTACAGTGTTTGAAAGATTATTTCCTGACGCAGCTGTTAGGAGAGCCTGCTGGGGAGGTGCCCCACTAGACCTGCTGTTCACGGAGAAGGACTGGTGGGACATATTGAGGTTGGGAGCTGTCTTGGGCAGAGCAACCATGAAATGGTAGAGTTCTCTCTATTCTTGGTGAAGTTGGGGCAGTGGGGGGGTAGTCAGCAAAACTGCTACTTTGGACATCTGGTGGGCAGACTTTGAACTGTATGGAACACTGTTAGGAAGAATCCCTTGGGCTTCAGTCCTGAAGGGGGAAGGGATTGAGGAAGGCTCGTTGCTCCTCAAGAAGGAAGTCTTAGAGGCATAGGAGCAGGCCATCCCCCTGTCATAAGACAAACTGGTGGGGAGGAAGACCATTGCGGGTGAACACGGAACACTTACTTATTTAAATTGGAGCCAAGAAGATGAGTGGAAATGTGTGACAAAACATCCATGAGGGTGTTGTTTCTAAGAACCATAGGAGCTTAGGGGATGTGTGAGATGAGGCTCTTAAGTTTTTGGATTAAGTCCAATACTTTGTACCATCACTCTGACAGCAGTGCAAAGGAGATATTTTAACAAGTGTGAGACCTGTGCTTTTTTTTCTTCAGCCTTTTTCTCTCCTTTGATATATCAGAGGAATTGTTTCAGTAAATACAAAGAAAATGTCAAAAAAAAAAAAAAAACAAACAACCCAAACTGAGGAAAGCTCATTGAACAGGGCTTCTGTGAAAGTTAAGACTGAATTCATTCAGGTTTCATCAGCAGCTTTTTTCAATCATTTCGCGGCTTTCTTCTCATCTATGTTTTTTATGTGATAACTGATTTATTACGGATACTTGATTTTAAAAATGAGTAACAGCATGCATCCTTTAATAACTGTATCCATATGTGCTGTTTTGAAAGTTGTGACTAGACCTTGTCCTGCTACAGACAGGAAGCATTTTGTAGGTAAAATGAAACTGAATGTGAACACTTACAGCAATCTGATTATTTCTTTTTTTTCCTAAAAAGCAAGAGGTTCTGTTTAGCTCATTCTTGTGAGTTTGTCTTATTTCTCTTTTCTATTTCTTGTTTTTCATAGAATCATAGAATGGTCTGGGTTGAAAAGGACCATAATAGTCACCTAATTTCACATCCTCTGCTATGTGCGGGGTCGCCAACCAGTGGACCAGGCTGCCCTGTTTTTGTTTAACTTTAGAGTAATATTTGTACTGATTGTAGCTCTATAGTCTTGTTTTATTAAGCATTTTAAAGTCATTTACTGAAATTCCTCATCAACGACTGATCCGTGGTGCCACTGGACAGCCAAACTGCAAAACAGATGACATGGATGTAGGTCTTCTAATATCCATAGCACGTGCTATCACTTTTAATGAAAATGACAGCAACCGCATTTTTAATTAGGGTGAATGTCATGCACTACTGAAACTTTTGGTGTGCCACTGTGAGCTATGATCTGTTAGAGAATTCTGAAAAGAGAATATGTGGAAATGTTTTTCAACTAACTTTATTTTCCCTGCTTGAATCAGAGAGCTCCAGTGAATCAGAATGCGACTCTGATGATGACAGCAGCTGTGCTAGCAGTTCGGATTCAGAAGTTTTTGATGTCATTGCAGAAATTAAGCGTAAAAAAGCACACCCTGATCGTCTTCACGAGGAACTGTGGTACAATGATCCAGGACAGGTATGGTGAGAGGTGAAAGTTTTGTTTCTTAAAGTCTTTCTCCCCTGTGGACCTAAAGTTCTGCTTTGTTCTCAGATATGCTGAGACATCTATTTCAATGTGTTTCCCCCACTCTTTCCCTTTTTTTGTCTCATCTTCTTCATAACACTTAACTTTTGATTCTAAGTGTGTGCTTCCATATCATGACTCCTGTGGAGTATTTGGCTGGAATCACATCTGACAGCGTTAATAAAACCTGAACTGCTAGCAGTGTGCTAATTCTGTCCTATTATCACTGAGATAAAGGTGCACAGATGAGTTCTGGGATCGAGAGAAGGCAGCATGTTTATCTCCATTACAAATTATTCACCTAAAAGCTTTTAGCTCATAATGATAAATAATATTTTAAATATGCTGTTAATGCTCCTAATTTCTTGTCTAATGGTTCTTTTGTAATTGCATGGAGATTATAGTTCTCATTAAATGTAATTGCTGAGCTCACAAAATGTTGTTTTGAATGTATACATTGCACAGAAGACTAGTTTTTGTTAGCGAATTTGCCATCTTCATCTTTCTTTGTTAAATATTTTATGGTCTATTCTAACTTCTTGTCAAATGGCAACCCAGTAAATTTGTTTTTCTGGCACTTCGTATGATTCATGAGTTCAGAATGCAGCAAATCATAATGCTGAGAGATACTGCAATGCTTATTGCCTCTGTGGTAATTCAGAGGTCTGTTGAATATTCTATTGCCAACTCATATTTATGCTTCTAGTTTAAAAAATAATAATAATTTGACTGAGCTATCTGCTTTTATTTATGTGGAAAACAAAATTAGCAAACTGTTTAGGCATTTAAATGAAAATAAAAACAAACATGTGCTCTTGGGCACATTTCAAAGTAGTGTGCTAGCCCATAATATGAAGTAGGATAACTTGCAAGAATAGTTCCAGGAATGTGTGGTTTATGAATTTCCTGCTGAGAAACTTTCCTTCCCAAACTTTGAGATTTGGTTCTGTGTATCTGACCTGCTTCTCAAGCCCTGGGCTTACAGGTACCTCGCATGTCTCATTCTGTGTATTTAATGTAACAGAGCCAATGTTCATGCTGAACATTCTAAGAACTAAGGATGATTTTTTTTTCAGAAGTTATGGTTATTTTCCTAGCTTCAGTAGGCCCTTGTTTTTCAAGGAGTACTGAACAATTCTTTATTGACTGTGTTATTTAACTTGACTGTTCTATGGCTACATAAGCCAGTGTGAAAGTATGTATTTACCTATAAACATCAATCAGCTTCATTAAACCTCTGCTTTCCTCAAGGGTTTCAGTGTGAGATATAGAAAGTGAACAAAATGCATCATGTCACTTTAATAACACTGCATAAGTTCCCAGAGGAATAAAGGGGTGCCCTGCTTCTGATATTTCTTTGCACACGTTACACATCTACCATGCCAGTCTGAAGAAACCAGACTGAGATGAACCTTCAGAGAATTAACACGGCAACCAGAAAGTTGTGTTCCTTTTCCAATAGTCTAAAGACTACCGTAGCAGCAGTTTGGTGGTTCTTACTTCCTGGAGTGTCTTCACATTGCGTCTATTGTCGGATGACATTTAGTCCCGCCGGGGTTTACATTTTCAGCCTTCTTATACTGGTATGGAAAGTTCTGCTGGCTCTTGTGTTGCATTCCTGTATTAAATCAAAAAAGTGTTCTTCACTTCTTGGATTCAAACTTTCAAACTCTCCGTTAAAGCCCAAGATACAGAACTTAGCTCATTTCTCTGTTTTGGTTCTGTGTTTTATTGGATTTCAGCAATGGATGTGATGTTAGGAGCAGAAAGCTTTAGTGCATTGCAGCAATTGATAGTCTGCATTGAGTGTCTTAAAGGTGAAAAGATAGACACCAGCTTTGTACTTTGTGCAGTTGCTCTCTTAAATTATAGGTACTTCATGCACCCACATGGAATACTGAAGTGGATGTTTTCCCATTTTCTCTTCTTTACCGATCTGTTCACAGGATGCGTTTGAGTTTTCCCTGTTACTTTAAAGTACCACGTAAAATTTTCAAATGGTCTGCTTTATGTACCTTGTTCGAAGGCCTTGCTGTGTTGCAGATGGGTTAATCAGGACCAGGCTTTCTGAGTGAGACTGTTTGAACACAGAGATTTCAGCTTGTATTTACGCGTGCACTTTTAAGGCCTGATTTTTACTTTAGGCAGACATGCTGTTGCTATGTATATGATACGGAAAAATGCATATGACAGCAGGATGGTACAGTTCTGCTGACACTGTTTTCCCATTTTGTGCTTCTGAAACAGTCATGGAGTTAAAACGCTATTGTGTGTTTTTCTTACGTTAGTCTATACTGTTTCCATTTTTACTGGCTTAAGAGCATCCACTTAATCTAAGCATGACAGGCTTTTAGAAGCATCAGCACTCTTGGCATTAAAACCAACATACTTTTCCAGACACAATCACCTACTGTTTTTCAATAAAAACAGAATCCTATTTTGTTTTTGACAGATGAATGATGGACCGCTGTGCAAGTGCAGCGCTAAAGCTCGACGAACAGGGATAAGACACGGCATTTATCCTGGTGAGGAGGTAAGTAGTTCTAAGGATTGCAGTTTTGAATACAGACTTACTGCAGTGAACTTGTACTTGAGTTTGTAAGTTTTGCTTGTTTGTTGTTTTTTTTTTTTTCTCCATGGCTTACGGGCTTAGTAACAGCTTCTCTGCAAAATCAAATCACTTTGTGTAACCTCACATTTAAAAAGGAATACTGGTAATTAAATCCACCTGAGAAATACAGAAAACATTTGCCCATATGTGCTTGACTGAAGGTTTTTAAAATAAAAGGAGAATATAGGAAAGATCTCCCATTGTCAAGTGGATGAGTATGTTATAAGAACCCTCTTTTACTTTAAAAATAAATGAATTCATAGATCTGCTTCTGGGGGAGCAGCAGGCTTTTCAGGAGGTGGTGTTGCTTTGGTGATGAAAGCATGTCTGCACTACAAAATGTCAAACAGTTTAAGTTTTTAATTAGTACTCGATTAGAAAAAATTGAGCCCATCAGCTTCCTGAAACATTTGTAATGGTAGTGCCCTTCATTTGGAAAATGTTGTCAAAATACTGGTGGTTTTCTATAGAAATATTCATTTGCTTTGTGATCTGTGTTTCTGGAAATAGACCACCTCAAGGTTTTTATTGAAAAAAAAGCCAGCTTGGTTGTAAACATTTAAGAAAAGTAGCGCATAGTTTTACACTTTACCTTCATAGATTTCCTTTAAGAATTTAGTTTTTCAGTATGCTTTCCAAAACATTTAGCGACACATTCTTTTATTTCTTTGCAGTTAAGGGTTTGTGAATGTTTCAGTTGCAAAGGATAAATTATTCCATTTCAGAAAAATGGCTTTGGTCTGAAGCTCTCCATAAATCACTCGAGGATCAATTCCTCCCCACATTGTCTCGAATATTTTTCTTGTAAGCAAGGAGGAAGAAAACTTTACCAGGAGAAAACTAATAAATAAAACTTGCTGCATGAAGGAGTGAGACCAACTAGGAATGTGAGGCTTCAGAAAATCTAGTATATATTAATTTTTATCCTATCCTTCAGGTAATCCTGGCTAGCTTCTAAACTATGTGGTTTGTAACTGTCTTGTCACAACGGCGAGGAGCATAACCTGCATCTGAGCAGAGTAACCACTCTGTTTTGTGGTTGGGTTCTGCACATGGCACAGAACTGTGCAGTGGTGTAGCAGGCCAACTTTATAGTACTGTCTTGTGTAGCACCCCACGTGTCGCAGGTATTTTCCCTGCAGATAGTCATATCTTCACAGATTGACAGCAGCCCATCAGGCATGAGAAACTGGTTTTGTCAAACTGCTGAGGGTTTTTAGATCTTTAGGTGTTAAACTGGACTGCTTCAGAAGAAGCTGGAGCAGATCACAAGTCCCCAGCAGTTGGAGGAAGCAAATCCCTTCAGTGCTGCCTCCTAGTGTACCATTCTCACAAGCAGGCACTATGACCCAACAGAGCAAAATTACGTGTGCCAGGGATGGACTTGTTAAGAAATAACAAGAAATGGACTCTTCTCTTCAGGGCCCAGGTTTACCACCAGCAGATGAGTGAGTACTTGTCATTTGATAATGTACTCGGATCTTATGTACGGCCTAAGTTTATTTCTGTAAAGTTTTAAAATCAGCTTCTTGAAACAATTTAGTATAAAAGAGGAAATCAGTCTGCTGTGTAAATGGCTAACTGCTGTTTGTAGAAAACATGAAGAGTCAGATGGCAAATAAAAAAAATTACAGCAGTGTTTTTCACTTCTTTGGTTTGAATAGCATTATAACTATTTCTAGAAGTGACTATATAGATATAGCCAGTTTCTCTTTTCCTGGAATCCTTAATTATGACAACCTTCTTTATTTAATTTTTCCTAGTGTATATTTCATGGCTATTAGAAATGCTTTATTCTCTCTTTTAATCTAAATTTGCCTTGACTTTGCACATAATTCCACTTATCTTTTCTTTAAGCCCATTAAACCATGTCGCCCCATGACCAACAATGCTGGAAGACTGTACCACTATCGAATTACGGTGTCACCTCCCACAAACTTCTTAGTAAGTACTTTAAAAATAATTCTAACCAGAACTCTAATTTTGTTTTCATAGTGAAAGTAGTACTGCTTCTTGTTCACTCCATGCTGTTTCTGCTTACTTTTTTAGACAGACAGACCTACTGTTATTGAGTATGATGACCATGAATATATCTTTGAAGGATTCTCCATGTTTTCACATGCCCCACTAACAAACGTAAGTATACTCTTTACATTGTATATAGGATTTGTCTGGAAGGCAAACTATTTTTGCCCTGAAGTAGAACTTCACTCCAAGGGGTGTTACAAACCTTTTTTGCCAGCACTGGAGACAGGAAGAAAACATTTGTGCTGAGTCTCAGGTTTTGTCTTACATAATGGTGGTAGTCATTGCCTTCAAACTGCGACTGAGACTGTGACGTGCATCATTCATATTTTTACATTTTGCAGTTTGAAAACATAATAAATCATGGATGGAATAATAACTTTTTAAAACTGTTAATTAGCTTTAAATTAGATGAGGAGCTTTGTTAAGTTGAAAAAGTTTATTTAAAAAACAATTAAAAAAACAAACCAACAAACTTTTTCCCTTAGTGAGAAATGGAGACTGAACTTTTTTTTAAAATATCCTCTCTGAAAGGATTTCTCTCTTCAAAAAAATTTCTTAGGCATATCTATTACTTTCTAACATCTGTTTGATTTCTTCAGTCACTGAACTCTTTATGATTTTTTATTAGAACTTGCAGGCTTTTAAGGCAATTGATTTTTCTTTTCTGAAAGCAAATATAACAACAAAATGGTTGATATCAGATGACTCCTCTCTTGCACTATAAACTGTTAGCCATGTCAGAACAAAATAATATCTGTACCTTTTTTTTTATATCTTGATATTTTAAGAATTTTTTTCAAATGCTCTGGGACACTATTTTTTTATTTTTATACCTGTTACTACCTTCCGCATCCATGTCAAAGCCCAGTATAAAAATGGTCACAATACAGGACTGCAATCTAAGAATACTGGAACTAAGAGGCACTGAGGGGAAAAAAAATCATTTTTAGCTGACAGTTTGCTTACGTTATGAATATCACAATGCTTTAGCTCTGGTGAGAAGGGTCTGCTGTTGACAAGAATCCTGCAAATCAGTGGTACTCAACTAGTGGGGGGTAGCACTGTGATGCACTCCTGCCCTGCAACAGTAGCTCAGCCTTGGGGTTCAAGACAGATTTAGCCCAAGGCTTTATTTTCATTTTGTAAATGAGCAAATAGGAACAGTTATGTTGTTTGCTCTTATTAAAAGGATAAAGAGGCCACCTTATCTTTATCATACAATGCCTGCTATGTGACAAGAAGGCAGTGTATTAGAAAAAAAAAAAACAACAAGGAAAACTCTTCTTGTGTGACATGAGCAATGCAGATGTTAAACTGATTTTTATTGCGAAGTACACGTGTTGAGGCCAGAATCAGATAGCAATTTCTCATAGTAATTTCTCATTCCCACTGAGGGAAATGGTCATCAGCAAATGATTACCTTTCTACAGACTGGAATACAACATGATACTGTAGCCTGTTCTTTTTTCAAACAGGCATAAAACCTTTTGGAGAGAGATTACCTGGTTCTACTGAGAAGTTTTTGGTCCACATAACATATGGCAGTATTGCTGCCATAGCAAAATTCCTGTTAATGGAGATCTTGTCCATAGTCATTTCTCCAAAGCATTCATTTTCTACATGGTAACAAGAGAAAAAACTCAGGCTATTGAGTCTCTGTATGAGAACATTTTATGCTGTTTGAACTTGTGTATTAGAAAGAAAACATTCCCTGTATACTTTTTTTAAAAGCGTCACTGATTTGAATGGGACAGGTTTCCCTCTCACATTCTAGATGAAACTAGAATACTTTTTTTCCCTACTATTCTATTTACAGCATTTAATAATTTAGTAGTTAAAAGCTTTGTATCAAATCTAATACAGTTTTTATATGTGGTTGTTTGGTGTAAATCCTTTTACCATCAGGAGGTGTATGTAGACAAAACAGTTAAGTGTTTAACAGTGCACTGCAAGAAGATGCAAGTAGAATGCTTGGGCTCTAGGTCCATTGATTTCAGTGCAACTCTGGCACCATTTGAATCTCTATATGCGTATCAATGCAAAATAAACTCGCTTTCATGAGTGATTGAGATTGTCTCTTACACTCACAAAGGCAGTGGATGGCAGGATTAGGCATCTTATTTTTTTAGAAATGTAGCTTTTTGGCTTAAAAATATAAATCCAAGAAAATGCACAAATCAGCAGCCACAAAACAGCCTTCAGCAGTTTGTGGACTTTGCCAGCATAGGCAAAGAAGTGAACTGTGTGTTTGTCTTACTAGTTAGGTGAGTGCACTTGTAGAAATATTTATTTATGTAATGAAATTATGCACTATCTTTTACATTTATCCTGAAATTCCTGGATTGTATTTTCATCACTTAAACAGTTTTTTAGAATTGTATAACTAACAGAATTGGCAGCATACTAAAAACAGCTTGCCTTCAGGTCACTGCATCTATCTGACATGTTGTATCACCAAAAATAAGTTCACTTCCAAGTACGCAAGTGAGAGCAGGTGTGGAAATTTTTGACTGAACTTTGCTTTTTCTTCTAAACAAACCTTTATCTCCAGTAGATGGCATTATTTAATCTTACTTTACCAATCTTCAGTCCTGTGTTATCAGAGGTGGAGGTTAGAATTGGTATTTCTCTTGCAAATGCTTGCTTTCCTGTCTTTGTATGATCCCACTAAGCAGCTGTTTTAGTATATTCCGTTTTCAGCAGACACTAATACCCCTGCATACAAAATTGTATTAACTGTACATTTGTCACTGCATAGCTTTTCATGCTGAATCTCTTTTTCTTCCAGATTCCTCTATGTAAAGTAATCAGATTTAACATTGACTATACAATTCATTTCATTGAAGAGATGATGCCTGAGGTAAGAAGGATAATTAGTCAAAAAGTCAGAGTGGGTTAAGAGTTGTTGATATTGTTAATGGATTAAACTCTTCACAATCCCTTCTTGTAGAGAAGATGGTAAGAGACAGGCTATGTTCTGAAAGAATGTCTGAAAAGGAATTTTCTCTCAGAAGTACTAGCATAAATCCATCCACCTAGGCTATCATATATTAAAATCAAATAGTAAGAAGTGCTTTTATTCATTTTAAGTTAGAGTATCTGGCATAACTTATGTATCTGTGAACTAACTTAGGCATTATCCTTCTTTAACAAATGACAAAAATAATGTATGTGAAAGTGCTGGTTTTCCAGACACACGTGAGTCAATGCCAAGCTGAAACTTAATCTTGAATATGATCCTCTAAGGATCACTTATCAGTACTTACTACAAGCTGTTGCCAAAACAAATTTCTGGTGGATACAAGCAAAGCACATTCAGTTCTTAATCTGTTTGGTTTTGTTTTTTTTTTTAATTACAAATTAATCTCTGGTAAAGTCAGTTTGTGAATTAAATTGCATTAGAACAGCAGATGTAGGTACAGAAATGCTCCTGCGTATTAACTACAAAGATAGGATCGGTATTTTAGTCTGATAGTTGCATCTTTCTTCCTAGTTATCTACTTTTTTGTTGTTCAACACCATCTAAAATACGTGCAAGATCTCTGAAATTCCTCAGCAAGATTACTGCAGATTGTTTCTTGTTACTGAATCCGATGTGTTGTCTTTTTGGACTCCTGGTTTGATGCCAGTAGCTAAAGCCTACTTTACAACCATCTTTACTAATGCATTGTTCTGAAAGGTTGTGTTTTTGGGCTTGGAAGTTATGGCCATTTTCATACATGTATTACTTATGTTGTCCTGATCTGATCTGATCTGATCTTGTTTGTTCAGGAAGACTTTGTAAAGCAGCAGTTCCTACACTTCTGATTGAAAGCTCCTTGTTATGGAGGAACTGCTTCCCTACCTGATGAGGTTTTTTGTTCTTTTTCTTCCCCTCCTGCTGGCTTTAAGGTCATAACCCTCTGTTTATATTGTACTGTCTTGGTGCAATGGAAGAAGTGATCATAATACTACAGCTTTTATTATAAACATGTAGAAAAAAGGGAATATTAAAAATCTTTCTCAGAAATATGAACTTACTCAGGAGGAAGTGTTGACATGCATGGTGGATTACCACATTTGTGATTTCTGCCAATAGGGTGGATGTAGGCATTACATACAGAATCTTCATTATAGTGCTTTCTTAATAGTGCTTTTCCTATTAGACCACTGTGCTGCAGTAAATGATTAAAGATGCAACAATGCTGTTTCCAAAACCTCATTTCTAGCAGTTGACAAATATGAAGATAACGGTAGTAGCATTATCTGTATTACAATATTATGTAATCATAAACCTGTTTGTTTTTATTCCACAGAATTTTTGTGTGAAAGGTCTTGAGCTGTTCTCTTCTTACCTATTCAAAGATATTCTGGAACTGTACGACTGGAATCTTAAAGGTAACTTTTATTTCCAAAAGAAAAAAAAAAAAAAAACTTTGGAAAGTTGACCTCTGTTTTGCTATGTTTTTATGTTTTAAACATTAAAAAAAACCTGGGGAGTGGCCTCAAAATAATAGTCAAATGCTGTATTAAGGGAGAGGAGCAAACTTGCACTTCATAATTTAGAGGGTGAAGTTTATTGAGGGTTGTTAGTGGGGATTATAGCAATTAAAATGCAAAAAATCTTGCATTATTTTCTTACAGATAAACTAAATTTCTTCTTTAATCCAAAAACTGTCTGTTGTAATGGAATGTTAACTCTTACTGTTTGTTATTAGACAGTATTGTGGGCAGGGTACTGTCATGTACAAGGCATCAGGTAAAATATCCTCTGTTTTTACAAGCTAAAAAACAAATATTCATGCAGTATTTCTCAACAATCAGCTCACAAAGTAGTGTCATGCAGACAGCTTTAGAAGGGTAAGTTATAGCATAATGTTTTTAACTTGCTGAGATGAAAATGTGTGTTCCTGTGAAGGCTATGACAGTGGAGAAGTTCAGGAATTATCCTTCCCTTGGTCTAAAAGAAAACAAAGAGAAATTCAAAGGAATTTTAATTCAGAATCTGTAGCTGTTTTCCTGGCTTCTCTTTATAGATGTGTGCTGTACACTTGTAGTTAAACAGAGGAGCACACAAATATACATTTTGTGTAGTCATTTTTGCCTAAATGTCTTCAAATATTAATGTTATTTTGTACCACAGTTCTGATTGCTTTTTTTTTTTAATGGCAGGCACCTAGTGTTTTTGTTTTTATTTTTGTGCAAGGCTTTGGATGATGAAACAGGAAAGGAAAAAGAAAAAACCACAAAATACTGTCTTTTGAAATTTCCTTATTATTTTTATTACTATAACAGGAAAAAAAACCCAAACAAACCACTAACTGGGAGAGACTAATCAAATACTAGTGCTTTGCCTCTAAAACTGGAGTGGATAAAATTTATAAGACATACTTTTCTTTGCAGTTTTAAATAGAATACTGTGTTTTTTAGATTCTTTAGTTTTTAAGCTATTGTAGTTTCTTTTGAAATTGTCTACCTGAAAGCATTTATTAGAAGTTGCTTTTCTGTTTCTCTATGCCTTTTACTACTTTGCTATCTGAAATTAGTGCCAAATGTAATCACTGGTCACTGACTTCATATGGGACAGGATTTCCATCTTTTTTCTTCTTTTGCAAATATGCTGCTATTCATAAATTCTGTTTTTTTTCCCCTTACATTTAAGGTCCTTCACTTGAAAATGATTCTGTTTCCTGCCCCAGATTTCACTTCATGCCACGATTCGTGAGATTTCTTCCAGGTAACGTATTAAGAGCTTAAACTCATTGCAGGTCAAGTAGTTCAGTTGTGAAGAACTGATGTCTCCATCTGAAGTCTTTCATGTTCACTGATAGATTGTGTAGTTTACTCAGCACCAGAATTCTGATGGAAAGGCCAGGTATCGTGCTCAGCTTTTGTCTGTTGTGTAGTAGCTGCAGGAAGTGTTGGGTCATTCTTTACTTGTCCTGTGATGGAGCTGTGGGATTTGAGCAGTGTTGTCTATTCTCACACACAAAACTGAATTTCATATTCCGTCCGCAGTTCAGGATACGTGCCATGTTATTACATAGAAATTATTGATGTGCAGTTTTGAGAATCAGCAAGATTGTCACCCCTGAGCACAGGCTGCTCTGCTTCTTTCTTCTTTTATCTTTAATGTAAATTTAGCCCTTGCAAGAAATGGTGAAAGAAAGAAAAACACCGTTGCAGTACAATTCAGCCCAGGCCTGCCAGCCAAGGACAAGCTTGAGTGCAGAGAGCTATGCTCAGTTTGAGTGAACAGCTTACAAAAGCATTTAACACATCCTAAGATAGTAGAACAGACTTTCAGTTGATATAAATGTCATGTCTCCATTGAAAATGTGTCCTGCTGAGATGCTGCCTGGTGATTGTTCTGAAAGGGTTGCGTGGAAAGGAAGATGTGCTCAGCTGCTGGACTGTGAGAGCACAGATTAGATGTGAAACAGTCTTCATCAAGAGGGCTGTGGCCTGAAGGTGTTCTCTGCTTTGGGCTTTGGAACTTAGTTGTTATATTAATTATAGCTGGAGCTAAATGAGGTTTGGCTCACTACTGTGGAGAGTACTGAAGGCTAGATGACTGTATTTCTAATTGTTGTTCCTTCCTCAATACACAACACTGTTCAATCAGAAGCTGAGCTGTGAGGCTTGCTAGCAAACATTGATTTGGTTCTACTGAAGCAATTTACAAAATAAGCTATCAAGCCACATGTGGCTGATTAACTTGACCTCATCACAAAATGAGAGCAAGTTTGACCTGCCTGGACTGTGTAGCTTGAGGGTGTTTTCCAGTTACTTTGGAGTTTTTATATTCTGGTTTGTTTTGCTTTAGTTAGGAAGTCAGCTCTTCCTGTGTTGTTAGATTTATTGGCAGGGAGAGATTAGTCTGTCTAACACGTATTCCTTTGTGCTTCTCTTCTAAGGCTCCCAGTTCTCTGTCTCTATAAAAATGGCTTTTTCTTGTTATTTCTGCATATATAGTTTGTTTCTAGCATCTTTATGATGATTAATTTCTAATTACATATACATTTCTTATTCTCCATTTCTAGAGAGTGGGAATCCATGTCCTTCAGATACTGTTGCAAAACATTATTTCTGTCTATTAAAAGAAGATACACTGTTGCAACAGATCCCCACGGATCCATCAACTGCTTCCTTGAAGACAGAAATCAATTGATTTCTCATTCTTTCTACTTTTCTTTCGTATTCTTCTACCAGGGTCTGAAAATTCAAGGTTTAGAATGTCAGATTTTCATAGAATCATTGAGTAACTTAGGTTCGAATGGACCTTAAACATCTAATTCCAACCCCTTCTGCTGTGGCTGGATCAGGCTCCCTAAGAACCCATTCAACCTGGCCTCAAACATGTCCACAGCTTCTCTGAGCAACCTGTCCCAGTGTCTCACTGCCCACGTTTTCAGTGTTAGATACTTACAGAGACAAATCTTGAGGGTAGCTTTGAGTGAATTGTGTCAGGTTTGCTGAGTGCCAGAGATGCATGGCATGCAGAATAGTTGCTGTATTGTATTTTGTCAGAGATTTTTATGATGGAAAATGTATTAAAGAGTGAAACACTGTAAAACTATTACAAACTTCCAGCTATGGCTTCTTTTCACTCAAGAGGTCCAGTCTCTGAACTATTCTTTAGCAAAGGGCTACAACTTGTGCCCTTCCTGTAGAATCTTCAGTATCTAAGGCTGCTCATTGTTTCAGAAATTGGATATGGTATACTTCTTGCTGAATCTAAACTAGTTGACAAAGCCAAAAGTCTTGCAGATTGAATTCCTCTTTAATTTGAAGGAAAAAAAAAAAAACTTTTAAAATGTCTCTAGCTCTGTAGAAGTATTTTCTGTTTCCATTGAACTTTGGGGTTAATTTTCCCTGTTTTATATTCACTCTTGGTGCTTCTTGAAATCCATGAGCTCTATGTCATGCCTGCTGCCTTGGGTAGCCCATTCCATGCCCACCATTCTGAAGAACTTTTTCCTAACTCCAACCTCATGCAGCCCGTGCAGCCCCTTGGGCCTGTCACTGTCACAGAGCAGAGCTCAGTGCTGCCCCTCCGCTCCCTGTGAGGAGCTGCAGCCACCATGGGGCCTCCCCTCAGCTCCTCTGCTTTGCACTGAGCAAACCCAGGAACCTCAGCTGCTCCTCACACACCTTTCCCTCCAGACCCTTCACCATTTCTGTAACCCTCCTCCTTTGCACGCTCTAATAGCTTCACGTTCTTCTTATATTGTGACACCCAAACCTGTCCTCTGCACTGGAGGTGCAGCCACAGGGCACAGTGGGACAACCTCTCCCCTTAACTGGTGGCAGTGCTGGACCTGGGGCACTCCAGGGTCCATTTGGTCCTTTGGGCAGTCGTGGTAAATTGCTGAATGAGGTTAATTGTTTTAGGAAGTTTTAGGAAGTTGTGTTATTCCCTTTCATCTTTCCTGTTACCGAGAAGTGCTGCAATCCCAGCTGGAACAGAAGTGTTTGTTTCCTCAAGTGTCTTGTGAAAGGCAGCACTGCTGTGACACTGAGATTCTGCGAGACTCTCCACATATGCTGGGGTCATGTTCCCTATGCTGTGGCAATATCCTTCATACCACTTGAAGGCTTTACTTTTTCTCTGTTCCTTATTGTGTGTTTAGTGATGGAGTGTGTACTCCACGACTCTCTTGGAAAGGAGATGAACGTTTTTACTTCTGTTGGGGATGAAACTTTAAGATGCCTCTATAACTGTAGATGAACTCTCCATTGTTGGCACAAATCTCTCTGACCTCCTCCTTCAGAATTAAAGCACTGTAGTAACATATCTGTCTTCTTACTCAGATGAGCAGACATACTGAATTTGAATAGTTGGTGTCTTCTGAGTGGTGTTTTGTCAGGGCTATCGCTCATCTTTTGCTGTTTGTATGTTGACTGGCTCCCTGGAACTGATCAGATGTTTATTACACTGCCTTAATTCCCTGCAAGCAGCCTTTGCTGTGTGTATTTCCAGAGGTCTCAGAAGTATTTAGCAGTTTTCACATGCGCTCAATTCATTTAATGACAGAAGACAGCATGAGGCTCTTTAGTCTTCATTACTGCAGGTGCAGCATGTAAGCACCGCAGATGAATTCAAAATGTAAGGATAACTTACTACATTCATCCAGAAGTATCCTGTAAAATCTTGAGTGGTCCTTAAAAAGCTGCTTGGATGCCTAAAGGCTTTTTAACTTTTGTTGTAAAAGGAATGGTAGAAATGTGAAAAGGAAGACATAACCGGACTACATAACTGATTTGTTCTGCCTACTCATTTAGAAATTTTTCAGGCAAGTTAGAAACTTCAGCATTACAGAATGATGAAACTGTTTTTCTTGCTACTGTTACCATTATTGCTTCCAGTTTAGCAAAGAAGTGTGTTTTATGCATGTGCACTATTCATCAGTAAAACATTTGCGTCCTTATTTGTCAAGTTGCTTAAACATTTTGCATTTTATTTTGCTCATCTGAATATTTTATGTGCTGTGTATTTTTCTTGTGCTTTAGGAGTGAATATCTGAAATACATTTTCTTTATTATGTTTTTAAGATGGAGGGAAGGAAGTATTGTCGATGCATCAGATTCTTCTCTACTTGTTACGATGCAATAAAGCTTTGGTGCCTGAAGAAGAGATTGCCAACATGCTTCAGTGGGAAGAGCTGGAATGGCAGAAATATGCAGAGGAATGCAAAGGGATGATCGTTACCAGCCCTGGCATGGTAGAACAAATAATTAAGACAAATTAATAACTCAATAACATGCACATATCTTATTTCAGAGAATCTTCTGGAGTCTGAATTGCAGGGGATGAAGATGATCAGAGACAGTTGCAGATTGCTATAGGAACAGTTTATTGCATTATTCCAACCCTGGAAATAGTTTTACCTTTTGCTGTCCTACCCAAGGGCAGATTTCCAGAGGAGCATAGTTTCAATGTGCATATTGAAAGGAATGGCTGTACTTTAAGTATAGAAATATGTTATTTTCTCGTCTGCATTGATATTTTTTCTGATGGTCTTTATGTACATGATCTTATTCTATTTTCACTCACATACAACCAGAGAATTAGTAATTATTTGCTACGTTATTTTATGTTTCTCTTTTGACATCCTACCTCTATGTAATGTGCTCTCTATAGATTCTGCCCTGAATATAGAGAATGTTCTGCCTTTCTGTGAGGTATTTTTTCCCCACATCATTTCTTACACTGCTGTTGCTCACACTGAAGAATTTGATGTACATAAATGAGTACATGCATTAATATCTGGTGCCCAACTTGAAACCAATATTGTTTTATAATTTTTGGAACAGTTAGTATTTAAAGCATTAATTCTTTGCTTCTTTCAGCTTCAGTGTATGTGCAAATGTAGCCGATTTTTTCTGAATTTCACACTTTAAGAATTGTGTGAAAGATTAAAAAGTGCCTCCAAAAAGCTTCAAAATTCTGTCCACGTGGCTTGGCTAGTGGGACAGTGATGGTATCTCAGTAATAGCGTGTTTTGGACCTCAGTTTGGAGTTTCCTGCAGCTTTCTCTGTTGCAAGACCTTTCTTCCTCTGACTTTATTTTTTACCTTCAACTATTACACAACTTCTCAGCTTCTTCATAAAAAAAATTTGTGGTGTAATCTTGCCTAAAGGGGAATTTAATTAAAGAAACTCTCCCCAAACTGAAGTCACGTCACCTTTCTAGATAGATATCTCAAACTCCTATTTTTAAATATGGTAGTATTACATTTAGTAAATTAGTTAATCATAACTTGTCAGATTAATTTCTTTTTCCCTTGATTTCGTTCAGTGTTTTTGTTCTGACTAAAACTTCCTACACCAAAAGGAAAATAAGACCATGTGTGGGAACATGAAATACAGAATACATGTGAACTCAGTGTGGAAAATTCTACATGAGGTGGTTAAAACTAAGGTAGAATCTTATAATAGGAATTGTTAGCCTTAATTGCTTAATTTTGCCGGTGGTTTATGTGATACAATTATTTGGTAGTGTGTAGTCTTCAGCATTTGAATGGTAGACACTAGTTTTTTTTGCCAAAGATGCACTGACTTCAGCTAGCTGAAAACTTGGTGGTCTTTAACATGAGGGTAGCATATGCACTCCTTTGTGGCATCCCTCAAAGAGCTGCAAATGTCTTTGTGCACAAGGCAACGCGTTTTGAGTGGCAGTGTTAATTCTGAGGTTTTGTGTGATTTTTACTGACAAACTTTCTATTCTACAAAATGTTTTCAAAGATGCATGGGCCTCAAAATACGTAAACATAAAAGAAATCTGCAACACTTTGAAAAGTTGTCATGTTATAATGCCATCCTTAGTATGTACTTGTATCTGGAGACGAACGTGATGATATTTTTCTTAGTTTGTGGATTTTTTTTTCATTGCCATATATTCAATTGAGTATGAAAGTAAGTGAAAAATGGGGTTTAAAATATTTTCTGTGCATTTTATAGGGTTAGAAGATAAAACAGTTCTATTAGAGAGACAATGTGAAACTTTTAGAAAATGACAGCTTTTCAATTCAATTTTATCCACTTGACACAACAAAGTAAAAACACTAAATTTTATTTTGGTGCTTTCTTCCACAATGTCACTTCAGAAGTAATTTCTCTTTTGAACAGATCCAATTTTTCTATAAAATGTAAAGTGAATCTTATGCATGTTAGAGGGGAAAAAAATTGATAGGCATATGTCCCACTTAACCACTAACAATAGTTCAGTTGTATTTATAACTGTTTAATTTATTCATCGTGTTTCATTAGTTCAGTGAAAAATTTTTATAGGAGATTTAAAGGTTCAGATTCTAATCCTTTTTAATACTTCACTTTTTTCAAAATGCTGCTGCTTTTTCTGCCAGTACAAATCCATATATTTGTAACATGCTTTTGTACTACATCTGCATGCAGTCCCATGCAGATCTTGCCTTCTGCCATGAGGAAAGCTTTGACTGATGAGGTTTGGAATAGGAAACAAAGATAATGGGGCTCTGTTCTGTTAGAATTTCTTGGGTTTGGGGGAGATGTTAAAAACAGGATTCTGAATGTGATTATTAAGTGATCTCTGGTAACCCTTTTAAAAGGAGAGAGAGAAACATCTGGACAAAAAACATCTAATTTGCTTATGTCCTGTTTGCTGGTACACACTTTATACTGTGTATTTCTTTGATGCTGCTTATTGCAGCTACAGTACTAGAGGTAAACTGGTGTTCATCATACTCCGGGAGGGATGGAACACACGGTGTGGTTATGCCTCTCATAACCTTCACAATTTTGAAGCATCAATTGTGATCAAGACTTAAGTTCTTCTGTCCTGTTTGTTAAGAATATATCAACAACTGCGTTATTGAGTGGCACTTGTTGGATTGCATCCAGAGGAGGGTCACCAAAATGATTCAAGAGATGGAACACTTCTCCTACAAGGACAGGCTGAGAGAGCTGGGGCTGTTCAGCCTGGAGAAGGCTCCAGGAAGATCTAATAGTGACCTTTCAGTATCTAAAAGGAGACTGTGGGGAAAAAGGAGACAGAAGAGCCTGTTGTGATAGTATAAGGGGAAATGGTTTCAAATAAAAAGAGGGAGATTTATATTGGATATAAGGAAGAATTTTTTTTACAATAAGGGTGGTGAGGCACTGGAACAGGTTGCCCAGAGGTGGTGGATGCCCCATCCCTAGAGACACTCAAGGTCAGGCTGGACAGGGCTCTGAGCAACCTGATCTCACTGTAGGTGTCTCTGTTCATTGCAGAGGAGTTAGACTAGTCAGCCTTTAAGCGTCCCTTCCAACTCAAATGATTCTGTGATTCTATGATGATTTAAAACAGCTTGATTTAAGTGGTCCTGAGCCCACTTGTTTTACACACAAAGCTTGCACACAGAGCTTGCTACAACACATCTGCAACAGATGTGTTGAAATCTGTTCACACTTACTTTTGAGGATCAGGTTACTTGTCTTCACGTGTATAAAATGTGAAGTATTTGAATATGAAAGCATTGTATCCTTAATATAGTGGTTTTTAATCAGTGTACATAGTACAATTATTGTTAACATGTTCTGTTAATAATACTGTGTTTTTGATTCTCAGAGGTGTTGCTGTGAAGTAAAACCATGTTTTTTAAAAAACAAGTAGAAAAAAGGAGGAAAAAAAAAAAAGGAAAAGTTCCACGTTCTTAACATTAAGAGGGAGAAAAACAAGCAACTTTTGTGAAGATTAACAATCCTTCACCCCTCCAAATCTTTTCAATTCGACTCTGGGGAAAAAAAAAAAAAAAAAAGCCCACTAAACTAAATACACTTAAACTTCAAGAATTTAAATTCTGGCTAAGAGAACTTTTTATGCCTGTTAAAAATCCTCTCCGTGTTTTTCATTAGGTTTTGCTGCCCTGTTCCTCCTATTGGAAGTGCTGAGGGGAAAACCTTTATTCCTCTTTGTTTAAAATTTGCTAGCATCAGCAAAATAACTTTTTTTTTTTTTGAGTGGGCAGCTATTTTCTGTCATCATATCCAAAAGGAAGCTGATAAGCATTTTTCCCTTGGTAAATGTTTTTCTATCTGCAAGTCCCAAGTTTTAGGTAATCATTTTTTCTAGAATAGATTGGAAGTTTTGCCACCTGAGGAGGTTTGCCTTTATTTCTAGAATTGGCTTTGCTTATCCATGCAGAAAATGATTCCTGCGAACAGTTCTCCGAAGGTGGTTTGAAGGGTGAAAGCTTTGTTCTTGATGCATTCTTATTGTTTTGTGAAGAGTATGGTGGGAGCTGTTTCTGTAATTCTGAAACTCATTTTTGAGAAGTTCACAATGCTCAATTAGAAGTTTTGAGATGCAGGTAACTAGAAGTAATGTCCTTTTTCTGAAAGCTTAGACAAGCAGAAAATATTGGCCTCAAACAGCTGATTGTGAAGTAGGGAATAAACAGGCATATAACAAAGCAGGCTGGAAGGTAATGGGGAAAAATATTTACTTGGAGACAAACTGCAACTTCAACAGAGTTTTTTAAATGCTAGATAAGTTATCAAGAGCTCTGTAAGCAGCATGTCTTCTACGATGACATGTAATTACTCTTTCTGCATTTTTAAAGGTGAAATGAGAATCACTTCCTTTTACACTGTCCTTTTTAACTATAGAAAAATGTATGTTTTGAAGCATAAGAAGGATGGCAGTCTTCTCATTATACAAAACTATATTGTATGAATCAACCTGGGATTCCACTTTAAATTTTTCTTATACTGTTCAGTCTGTGTGATTGAGTGGATCTAATAATGACTTTGCTTACATTGGGAAATCATGAAGAGAACTAAAATAAGAGAAGTAACCTAATCTTAGTGAAGTGCTCAGGCATGTGGGAGCTTGGATGCCAGAGTTCTAGTCCTCATACTCAACCAAAGAAAGCTGCACTGGGTTCTCAGAAGTGACCAAACTGTATATTTCTTAACTTTTAAAATGAAGATAGACTTCTCTTTTTTTTCTCTGAGAGAGCTAAGTCAATTAACTTTATTTCAATCATTGCCATTGAAAAATACTGATTATTATATAAAGGATTATTTTTATGTGTATTTTAATAAGCTTAAATATTGCTGTTTATAAGTTTCTGGACAGTGTGGGCTAGAGACAAAAAAAAAAAAAAAATTTCATAGAGCTGTTGTCAATTAGGTATATTTTGTTTTTCTTCTAGAAACCCAGCTCAGTTCGTATTGATCAACTGGACCGTGAACAATTCAATCCTGATGTAATTACTTTCCCCATTATTGTCCACTTTGGGATACGACCTGCTCAACTCAGCTATGCTGGAGATCCTCAGTAAGATGCTTTTCTTTCTATCTTCTGCTCAGAAGCTCAGTGTCATCTATGACTTAATTACGCTTATTGATCTGACATAAAGCATAGTGCTTATGGCATAGAACAGTAGCTTCTGTAAATTTGGGAATGAAATACAACATACAACTTTTTCTGGTTTAGTTCAGGAACTTCTGATGCAAACTTTTTATCCAGAGAATAACTCTTCTAAGTTAGACCAAAGGTTGCTGTAGCTCTATTTTATTTCCTTGAGTAGCCAGTTGTCTATTTTTATTTTTTAATATTGTAACAGGAGAAAGGGAAAACCATTCTTCAGGCAGTGTAGAATATGGAGTTCTTAGTTAGAGGATGCATTATTTAGATCATTTTGTTTAAGAGCCCTGAGTGAATCTACCTTCACTAAATTTCTCAAATTGCTGCTTGAACTTTTTTAGTCTACTGACAGGGAAAAGATTCCAGGTAATAACTGTTCTGTGCATTATATTAAAAATGATGATTTCTTTAGTTTCAGAGCAGCTACTTGACTTAATTAGATGCTCTTCAGCTCTTACATTTAGTAATGTATAATGTATCCATTTCGTTTTTGCTTTCTTCATGGCAATTTGGTTTCTCTGCACCTTGCTGTATCCTTCTTTGTTGTCTCTTTTTATGACTTGCAGAGTTGAGTCTACTATTTTTAAAGCTTTTGCATCCATGGTAATTTTGCCTGTATCTTTTTCTGTCTTTTTAGAGATATGAACATAGTGAAGGAGTGGAGAGGAAACCAGAAGTTCAGACAGAGCAGATAATTGTCTCACTCTAGATCTGTGTAGTGGTGTAGAAGTGCTTTCTGGGTTTTGTTTACAATTTTTTTTTGTAACAATTTGACAATTTCAGGGAACTCTTCCAGTAATTCACAGATTTTATTTTTTTTTGAATGGTGACAGAAAATACAGAGCCTACCTCTTGTGCAAATATAGTTAAGATTGTCATTTTCCTCTTGATATTCTTCCAGTGTTACTTAATGACATGGAATTTCACTTGCACTTTTGAGGCCCGGTCACTGTCATGTGAATGTATGGCACGCGTTATTCTACAACTCAGAGAATTTTAGATTTAATATCCGAAATAGTTCTAAACCGCCAGCAAATGTTTACTTCAGTGTTTTTCCATTTATATGAAAAAAATATCACCTTAGTCTGAAAGGATTCTAACTTAGCAATATAATAGATTTTGCTAAATTCTGCACGCTGTTGACATCTTGTAATTAGCCTTTGATATGTTGATAATGAGGAAAAAACGATATGTGAAATTAAAGTTGCGTGTTAACACCAGATAAGTCACAGGAGTGGGAAGAGTGAGTGCTTATCTAAACAACAACATACTTTCTCTTCAACTATGGTTATAACTTTTAATTTCTTAATCATTGATTTTTTAATTTTTATTAAGAAAATTAGATGAGAATGTGCAAACCACCTCTGTTTTGATGCTAAATTTCTTAATGGAAAATATTAGAATACCACATAAATTACTTTTCCAGCATCTTGTATTTTAACTTTCTTAAAAGGAAAGACAACGGAAATTTTAGGGTTTTTTTTCCCTCACTAGAGCTGTCTGGAGAATTCGGATGTGCTTCTTTAATCAAAGTAACAAAGTAGTGTCATGATAAATCTCAGCCTTAACTCTGGTGCTTGTATGAAATATATAATGCTCAGAAAAGAATTTCCTATAGTATGTTTTTTGTGACATTCTAATACTGAATTTTTCTTACTTTTTCATATTGTCATCTGTTCATTATTTCTCAAAAGTAACTGCAATGACACAGTTGTTTCTGCCCATATTAGTAGTAAAACGTATGTTGTACATCAAAATGTCAAGCTCTCATTTTGAGGCTGAAATATCCTCATCTTAGTTTGTTAAAATCAGTGTTGGGCTACTGGAGGGCTTCTACAGATGAGCTGTTATATAAATATATGTGTAATTAGATGTTCCTGAATGATGAATAGGCAAGGTAGTTGGATAAAACTAGAAAACTTCCATATATGGTAACCATAGAAAACTTGGCTTTCAGTTTCCACACGGAATGAAACTTCGCTTTCACAAAATGCATATGTACAGCTCACAGCTGGTAGACCTTTTTGTTGTGCACTTCATTGGAATGTTTCAGCCAGTGTAATGACAGACACTTCTTGCAAAACATAACTGCTTTTCAGAGAGTGGTAGGAATTGAAGAGGGAACCTTCACCTGCATGAATTGAGGTGTCACTCTGTAGGAAAGTCTTTTCAGTGGGCAGAGTGTCCTTCAGTAAGGATGGGTGGGTATCTGAGACTTTGTCTTCTGCCCTCAGCTTTGCAGTTCACCTCACACTGCACACTCAAGCTTCTGCTGTTGTGAGCATGTCACTCTAGCAACTGCAGAGGCACTGCCACCTTTCTTGGAAAATGCTTTGAGATTTTTCTGGAGCAAAATGATGCCTATACATCTGTGTATTTTAGTTCAGAAGGCCAAACTACAAGAGTGTTCTACTGTACTGACTAAAATACTTGTTTTCTGCTTTTGTCCTTCAGATACCAAAAACTGTGGAAGAGTTATGTGAAACTGCGTCACCTGCTAGCTAACAGTCCCAAAGTCAAACAAGCTGATAAACAGAAATTATCACAGAGAGAGGTATGCTGGGCCTTCCTGTATCTGATAATTGAGCACAGTAATTCAGGATGGAGTAAAGCTGTGTGACTGCCCTTTTTATGGAAACAATAGAAATCCTTCACAAAAGATTTTCTTTTCAGGCTGTTAATACAGATTTTATTTTTATCCTTGCTTGCTAGTGAATGGATTTTTTTTTTTCCTTTTTTCAACTCCCAGACTACTGCAAGTTTTAACCAATTACAGAAAATGATCCTTGTGGAACCATAACTTCTTTATAGCCCTTGCCTTTAGTGGTTTCAGGAATTAGCATAGAGAGGGACTTTTCATTTCAGAATGCTCTTTTAAGTGTCTCATAATTTTAAACATTTCTCTTTTGAGATCAAAACTGCCATGGTTGCGCATAGTTTTAAGACCAAATTTAATAGGCAGTCTTAGTGAATTCCTTAAGATCTTCAAGTGATAGAACATTTAAAAAAAAAAAAAAAATTGGAATAATCTGATGGCTCTTATTTTCAGTAGAACTTAATGACAAATGAGGTGTGCTTTGAGTTATTGTCGTTTTCATTTTTCTCCTCAGAGCACTGAGAAATAAACAATTCTTAAGTGTATATGCTCAGCCAATAGGGAATTAAAATTAGAATAATAGTCACCTAAAGAGAGACTAAAGTAGTCTGTCCTGATGCATCCATCACTTAAGATCCTGGACTACAGCTTTGCATTTATCTGATGGTTTGTCTACCAGGCATTCCTAATTGACTGACTGACTTAAAAAAAAAAAATCTGTAGGGGGAGAAATGAACTTCTTTGGTATATGATGGAATTAACTGCTGCTGTGGTTTTATTTATTAAAAAGCTTTTTTATTTTAATTATCTTTAGTTTGATAATGCTGTGGCTGTGGAAACTGTTTGGTATATTTGACAGTATGCCTGTACTGTGCTGTTGCATGAGGAAGACTTAGTTAACATTTCTTTATATAGATACTAAGCAAGTCCTTAGCTTCATTCCCTGTAAATGTGGGGGAGAAGAACCACTCAGGATTAAAAACTCAGCAGTGGCAAAATTTTTAAGGAGAAATTGTCTTGACCAATAGAAGATCGAATTATCTTTGCTATAGTTTTCCCCTCTCAGAGAAGGGTCAGTGGAAGGGAGATCATTGTGTTACGGGCATCTTTTTATTAGGGGTTAATGAATGACTTGTATATAAAATTGTATTGGATTTGTTGTAGGGGGTTGATAATTTAGCTTCAAAAGATAAAATGCTTCTTCTGGTGTTTATCACTGACTATGTGGTGTTCTGGTCTCTGTTTGTAGACTACTCTCTAGGATGACTGATTTCTCAAGTAGTTGTCTGCGATCGGATAGATGTGTGGGGCTGAAGCAGGAGCTTCATGTGATGATAAATAATACATTTTGCCAATTGGGTGTCAATAAACATAAGAGCAGTAGTAGGAGCTGTAGGGCTGCACCTAAGCAGTACCAATGCTTTTAAAGGTAGTCACATATTATAAATAATAATGGAGTGCTCCTGAGCCAGTCAGCCTGAAAGTACAGCAAGCACTGCAGCACCTATTGGATAACACCCAATGGCACAGTCTTGAAAGGCAAGTTAAAGGTGATGCTCAAGGGGTTGAAGTGTTATAAGCACTTGTCTTCCCTTTGGCCTCACCACTGCATGTGATTGCATGATGTTGTTTGTGATAAGGTGGTGCCTAGAGGCTTTATACCTAACTTCTAGTACTTACAGTAGGAGCATAAGTTGAGACTCTAAGGCTCACTTTGAAGTTAGTGGAGAGAGAAATGCATTTTTTGAAGCAGTTTATCATCCCTCATTGATTATAAAAGGAACCTGGGCTAACTAGCCTCCTATTCTAGACATCTCAGTTCTGTCTAGAAATATCTTTGATGAAGCTGTCTGGATAAATGTGCCTCTTGGAGCCATTCCATGAGTCTCTGTGGAGTAGAAGGCAGAGCCTGTTCCTGCCCAGAGATGCATACAGCCTTCAGACTGGGAATTGAGAATAGATGGCTTTGAGCAGGTGCTCTGTAGTAAAAAGGAGGAGAGGGAGGATGGATTGCAGCTTTAAGACATTTTGTATGCTAAGGAGAAAAGAAGACTTTACTTAAGTGCATGCTGTGTGAAGAGCTTCCATACTCCAGAGACTTGGTAATATTAGAAAGAGGAGATCCTGAACTGGAGGTGATTTATTTCAGCTATTTTTCTTTCATCCATTTTTGCAGAAAATACTTCTTAAAAATGGTTCTGTCAAAGAAGCCAAGCATCCACTTCATGGTTTATACAGACAAAACCACTATTGACACAACACTGAACAAACTGTGGTCAAAGCAAAACAGATTTTTAAAAAATGTAATTCTTTCATTGTAATAGTATTGGAAGATTTTGTTGTCATAGCCTCCAGGATCAGTGAATGCTGATCAATTTCCCAAACTGGTGACACTGACAATAGTGAACAGGAACTGTTGTATAGTAGCTAGCATTCTTTAACAAGATGTTTCTTTTACTCAATTTATTGATGACCTTATTCCTACTGAATGCTTCTAACTAGAAATATATATGGACGTAGACTTGAATTAAGAGATTGTTTTCATTATAAGGATCTTAACTTGTTTGTGTATGTATCATTTTGAATGTACAAGTAGAACTGGTTTGTTTTGTTATCTACAAGAAAAACTGGAGTCATCTTCTTTCTCACTCACTCTAACAAAATCCTCTATCTGTGCTATTCTCAGGCACATCCATCACAGTCTGTGGCTGGCGGTTACAAGGTTTGGATTAGTTTTAGAAACTGTCAAAAATGAACTTCAAATATTGTGAATGTATATGTGTTCTTTAATGTTGCTTTGCTGTAGAAAATTCTTTGCAAGAGCTCCATTTTCTTCCTGTCTAGGAAGCACTGCAGAAAATCCGGCAGAAGAACACAATGAGACGTGAAGTGACTGTCGAGTTGAGTAGCCAGGGATTCTGGAAAACAGGGATACGCTCTGATGTCTGCCAGGTGACTGGATTGGAGAGATGTCTGATGTGTTGTTTTTCTTGATAGCTGCCACTTACTTTGCGTAAGAGTTTGTTATGATTATATGCTGAAGAACCAACCACTGGAAGTTTATACCTTTGCCTCAACATGGTCTGTTGCTTTAGGGAACTATTCTTTCCTTTCCTTATAAAAAGCTATTTTATAGGTTTAATTTTCTAGCAGAGGCTTGCTGCTCTTGAGTGACATGAAGCAGAAAGTGATGTAGGGGGGGTTGCAAGAGTGTCCAGTTTGAGGCTTGGAGGTCTGAAATGCGACAGCCTTGACTTATATCAGCCATGTCTTGGTTCTAGTGCCAAAAATCAAGAGTTTCTGCATCCATCAGTTGGGTTGGTGTTACATGTTTTTAGTTTAAGATATTTTTATATTTAAGGATTTCTAATTTATTTTTCCCACTGAAGCATGAAAAGAGGTTAAAAAAAAAAAAAAAAAAAAGGATTATAAAAGGATAACCCTTAGTAGGAAGATGTATTTCAGATTAGCATTCCATATATGTGATATTTTCAAGGTACAGACTTCTGCTGGATCCTGTTTCAGAGCAGATGACAGCTACCAGCTTTGTGGTTACAAAGTTTAAGTATAATATATGCATTTTTTTGGTCTAATATTGTACTAGTAGAACTCAAATAAGTGTAACAGCCAAATAAACATACTAGTGGTATAATTAGGTCATTTTTTGTTGTTTGGGAGGTGTTGATTAAGAATTAAAGACCAAAAATTTAATCAATATTAACTTAGGGTTGATTTAGTAAAGGTATAATTAGAAATCATGTTGATGTATTGAAACCTCCCTAAGGCTAGAGGGGAAATTTGTATAAGAGAGAAAAACTAATAACTAAAACAGCTTTTTTTTTTCCTGTCTGGAATATTTGTTTTGATTCTACTATTGCTTCTGAAGACAAAGAATAAATAGTAGCAGATAAAAGTTACAGCCTTTTTATTTTATTTTTTTTCATAGTAAACTGTGTCTACTTTTATCAAGTTCTAATTTAGGAGAGAATTGAGATAGTTATTTGTTATTCATATCATCTTAAAATTAATCTTTTAATGTATCATTGGATGTTCTTGTTTTCATTTTGCTGTTGAAGGACTACAAATCAGCAAAGGATGATGGGAAGGAAGCTATTTTGTGGTTTTGAACACATTTGCAACCAGAATATCTAAATCAGGCGATTCTACTAGAAAAGTCCTTTGATTTTATTTCTTGGAGAGGTCAAGAGTGGGTAAAAAGTATATCTGTAAAAAATGAAAGGCTGCTATTGTTGCTGCATGCTTTTTCCCATATTAAAGAAGACTAAAACTAAGTACATATAAATCAACTCTGTGGGCAGAGTGAATGTGCAGTGAGTTATAAACCGCTCGTTTTCCTTACCTTTTTAAAGCACTGTGGATAGAAGATTAAAGATATTAGAATGACTTAAAAGTTTCAAAGTTGCTCCAAGTTCTGCATAGCTGTAACATTGGTCTTTGTGATTTTTCAAAATGAACTATTCAGAGGGAGAGAGGAAGAAAGGTGAGCATGATGATTTGAAAATGTGCAGTGGCAATCTTCTTCCGGGCTTATTTAAAATTATCCAGTAGGTGAAGTGCAATTCTTGGCCAGTGCTGAGATGGGACCCTTGGTGCAGACTGGGTCCCACCAAAAAGATACCCACTCTTCATGTCCTGTGTTGCTGCTGACATGCCTTCAACAGCTGAGTATTCAGGATAAGGAGAGAAATTATTTATTTCAAACTACGTTGGCTTGCTGGACTTCTTGGTAACTTCAGGTCAGAAGCACCTGCCCAGAGACTGGCAGCTTTGCCTCCTAGTAGCCTTGGGGAGGATATCACTGCTGATTAGCTGGGGCATCTGTGAGAGTCTGCTGCTTGCCATGGTAGCTGCAGCGGGAAAAGTATGCAACATAGCTAGAATCCTACACGTAACAATTACGAGTATGTTTATAACCTGATTAAAGTATAAAGGTTATGGGGCAACTTCTGTACCCATACTGTTTCAAGGGGAAATTTTTCGTAATCACTAGCTATTCTTTTAGACTAATGCAACTTTAAAAGCCTCCACTTTATTTTCTTATGGAGATAAATAAAACATCAGAAACATCAAATAGCTATAATCTAACATGACACACATTAATTGAATCAATCAAGTATTTAGTGCTGTGAAAGCAGCACTTTGTCAATATAACTGCAGGAGTCAAATCAGAGACCTCCTGTGTGCCTCTCAAGGAGATATCTATTCCTCGTTCACTTCACCATGGCTGATACAGTTGAAAACTTCATATTCCAGTTCTCAAACTTTGGGCCACATGTACTGGTTGTTAAGTGTAAAGAAAACCAAATCTTGCTTGAGGGACTCTGTTGTCTGGCAGTCTGTGCAGTGGAACATAAGGGCAGGGAAGCAACCTTTTTATTGTAAATAATTCCTTCCATGAAGGAAAACATAGGAAGCACTTCTGAAGAGTTTATGTGGAGATGAGAGGAGTATTCCCAGAGCTTGTACATCACCTAAGAGGCTCTAAATGAGTAACAGGGAAACAATTTCAGAATAACTTATTCATTTTGGTTGCAGTAGTTACGTTTTTTTTCTGCCTTTCAGAGAGCTGCCTTCTTACTGTTAACCAGTTACTTCACATTGCTACCTTTTAGCTATGTATTCAGTTCTAAAGAACTGAACTGACCTTCTTTTACTTCAGTGGAAATCTTTGCCAATGGTTATTCTTATCTTCTCAGTATTTCAACTTCACAAGATTTTTTTTTTTCTGCTGTCCCTTCTTTAATGACATGCAGAAATCCTTAGCGTCACTTATTCTATAAATCACACATCACACATTATTTTTCTTTTTTTCAGCTCTCCACACAAGTATCTGATTACACATAATACATATAATTCTTTTTTTCTTAAATTAATATGGATGGCTCTTGGATTTATATTGCCTTAAAGCACATTGTTATTTTGAATATATTCACATAATGCCACTAACAGAAATGAAGTGAAATTTGACATCCGTGCCACAAAAGTGGTTGCATTCATAAAGTTCTTGTAGTGCTCTCACTTTTCACTCCTATACAAGACTTTTGATGTCTGTAGTTATTATGCTTGCTATACTACTGTACTGGTAAACCGGTACTAATTACTTAAATACAAATTCATTCACAAACAGTAAAATTGTACAGTATGTACAAATACTGCTTTAAAACATTGAAAGAGGGAGACTTTGGTTTATGCAACATAGGTTAATTTTAATTTAAATTTTTCTTCAACAGAAAAGATTGTCTGTGTCCTACATACAACAACCTTTCCTCTATTTTTACCACGTTATCCCAGAGATTGCCAGACTGACATTTCAAAAAGCCCTTAAGTCTTTCTCAAAGAAGGAAGCGTTTAGTATCGTATTCAGTCACAGCTTATTGACAATGAATCTTTCCAGTGACCAGACATTTTTAAAACTCATTCAGAATGCTTTGGTAGAAGGCTATTATCATGTATCTATTATTCTATTTATATTGATACAGGTGTGTGTCATCACTGTGATTACGTAAATGGGCAAATCTTTGACAGTGGGGATTGGGAAACTCCAATTCTCTTGTTCTGTCATTTAAACCAAAATCAATGGGTGATGTGACAAATGGAATGTGTTTCTGTTTTTAGCTTACTCAGCAGTGTCTACTGTACACTGAAGTTGAAAGCTTCTTTTTGTGGTTTGTTTTAGCACGCAATGATGCTTCCTGTCCTCACCCACCATATTCGCTACCATCAGTGTCTGATGCATTTGGACAAGTTGATAGGCTACACTTTTCGAGATAGGTGCTTGCTGCAGGTAAGATGTGCAAAAAATAAATTACTTGCTGTTTTGTCTTCCTCAAATTATTTTGTCTGTAATCCCATCTTCTATATAAAGTCACAGAAATGAGCTGCTTTGACATAGCTTGAAAATAGTTGATCATTTGCACTGCAGATCTTTCAAAGTATTAGTTATCCCAACAGCTCTTTTGAATAAATTAGAGGCATCTAGTGTGCATATAGGCATACACCTATATTTGCTCAGTGGTAGGCCTGAATTTGAATGAATGTTAGAATTATCTATCTGGATGCCTACCTGTGCAACCTGCTTTAGCAAGGGTGTTGGACTCGGTGATCTCTAGAGATCCTTTCTAACTCCTGCAATTTTGTAATGTATTTTTAAACAGTCAAACGCAGTTGCATTTAAAGCAAGTCAGCAAAGCTGATAAGCAAAAAAGTTAGGGCAAATTGGCAATTCATGCTTTCTTCTTTAAAGCTAATTTATTTCTTATTAAAAAAAAAAAAAACACAACCTTACTGAAAGTTAATTAGGTAAAGTGATGATTGAGCGTAAGTGTCACTTCTTTCTGACATCTGAAATCATACATCCTACATTTAAATTGCTGGAACCAAGATAGTAATTTACGACTTCACTTTGTAGCCTTTCTTCAGACTAAAAAATAATAATTATTATGTACCAATCTAATATGTTTTTTCTTGCATTTGCAAAAATATGCCTAAGACTTTTTTGTGTGTGTTACGTTATAGCTTGCCATGACTCATCCAAGTCATCACTTAAACTTTGGAATGAATCCAGACCATGCTAGAAATTCCTTATCCAACTGTGGGATTCGACAGCCAAAGTATGGAGACAGAAAAGTTCACCATATGCATATGAGAAAAAAAGGTACAGATTACACCACTACCACTTTCTATTGCTTCATCCTTAATCAGTAAAAAGAAGTTCTGTTATTGTTTCATTGGTCATTGCTCTTCTGAGTTCACTTCAGTGAAGTATTTCAATGGTTCTGCACAGAAACCAGTGAAACCTTTCTAAATGACTACATTTTGTAGATTAGTTAACAAATGATTAGCTGAAAAAAAGCAAGGGTGACAAATGATGTATTTTCTTTAATTTTTGGCAAGGATTGTTTTCTTAGTTTGCTTTTCAATACGGTAAGCATCCTGGAGGTGATTTCAGTAAAAGTATTTTCCTAATGTGAAAATACATGGTCTGTGCTGCTGAGTACTCTTTACCCCTTAAAAATACATTCAGATGTAGTGAACTTAATTGTTTACTGTTTACGTAATGTTTGGCATGTTCTTCCTTGCTGGCTTTCTATCTTCCTATCTGAACACAAACATACGAAAGGTCTGTGGTCAGTTAGGCACAGTGCATCTGCGAAGATGGTACTCACTGTAAGTAAACTTAGTAAATAATAGGAAGATCTTGTGTTACAGATATTACAAGGCAACATTTTGAGTAATTACCTTCTAAGACTGTTTGAATTGAATTAGTGGTGGTTTGTTTAATGCACATTGTTTATATTTCTAGGAATAAACACCCTGATAAATATTATGTCCCGTTTGGGACAGGATGATCCAGCTCCTTCCAGGTAACAATAATTATTGATTGTAGATTTGTGGAGGGTATTAATTACATTCTATGTTTGCAAGGAGAGAAACTGTTTTAAAAAGAGGTGTTTAGAAAAATCTGAGAACTTATTGTTAATAAGAGCTTTGGAAAATAATTTTAATGGAAAATCATTTTGAATTAACTTTTTGAGGATATGCTGAAGTTTGTGTAGCAGTGATAGAGTAAATGTTTGGTGATACCTGCAGAGACCTCCTGAGGAAGGTTTTAACAGCTATTTCTACAATTTCTCTTTATCCTTGAGGTGAGGAAAACTAAAATGCTATCTTTTGCTTTCTGCAGAATGAAAAATAAGATTTGTTGCTATTGTTATCATTGCTGTAAATTGGATTCTCCATCACCTTTCCTCATAGCAGTACTTTCCTGGCATGGCACCTTGTTAACATGAGTGTGATGTCCAGTCTGGGCTTCACTGGTGTACTTTTCCAATTTAAAGACATGCATAAACAGATGACGACAAAAAGCTGAATCATTGGGATTATTTAATAATGTTTAAACAACCATTAAGAATTCTGTGCAAATAAATAGACACCATATGTGGCCAAACTGAATAAACAAAGCTGACAGAGATAATGCAAGAAGCAGTTGTTGGCACATTTAGATTTCACATACTAGAGGATAAAGGGTATATTGGTAAACTAATGTTATAACTTGGTCTTTAAACAGTCATTGTTTTGGAGGAAGCTGGGGACTGGGAGAAGTTGAATTCTGAATAAATGATTGTTGTAGTCTTCTCCAAATGCTGTTTCAGCTAGACCGTGCCCTTTTCTTTAAGAGTCAATCTCAAGCTTCTTTCATCTCTTTTAGAGCAAAGTGAGATAAGGCTAAATTGCATTGATTCTCATGAAATAATACACAAATATAAAATCCTGCATCAGAAAGATGTATTTTCTGCTGTGGTGCAGTGTGATGTAATTGCTGTATTCATCACACTTTGTTTTTAACAGCATAGGTACTTGAATTCTTTCAGCCTGTCACAAAGGCCTGCTGTTTCTATGTAATTGTTGAGGGGATGCAAATTATTGTAAAAGCTGTCGAACACTTGAGAAATATTAAATAAAAAAAAAAAAAAAAAAAAGAAATCCTATGGCTGTGGCCTTGATTCTCTTACTATCACGTGTGTAGTCAATATGATGCTGCTTACATGCCTCAAGATGTAGAGCAGAAATTTGTTTATGTTTGGAGAAAAAGTTGAATTATTTTTCAGTTATGTCCTGTTTGTTCTTTGTTTTATAAGTAAATGAAACTTTGTGTAAAACAAAGGAAAAACATGGGCAGACATAAAAGAAAGGAAAAACACAGGGAATATAAAGTTCTACTAGCTTTATAGCATCTATGAATGCATCTTCTTGTCCAGTAGTTTTTCTTCTTGAGCTCAAAGGAAATTACAGAAGGCAGAACAGTGTGCATGTCTGTATGGTATTTTAAAGTGACATGAAAAATGAAAGTATTTCATTGTAGCTCGCTCATACCAACAGATCTGCTGCAGAATCATCACACCCTGCAGGTGTTGATGTTAATTACATCTGCTTCCCTAGTTGCACATAGAAAACTGAAGGTGGTCATTTGTTTCAATTGCCTGGTGTCCTTTGCTGGACAAGGCAGCTCAATCTCAGTAGGGTACTGCACAATGCCAATCAACAATGCTGTTTCCTCTCTATGTTTGTTAAGCTCTGACAGTATCTTAGAGCAGAATGTAGGAAAATTTCAAAGATAGTTGAGTCACTCATCAGTTTCAAGATTCATGTGGTTTTTCTGCTTTGGAAAAGATTGTGCATGCTAAAAGTGTGGCAGAAGGCTGTAAGAATGGTTATTCATGTCCAACCAGCAAGGAACTCAAATTTGTTCTAGTTATACTGTGTAAATAACCAGCATATGATATTTAACTGATAGTAAAAATACCTAAAAAATACTTTTTTCAGGATTAACCACAATGAGCGTTTAGAATTTCTGGGAGATGCTGTGGTGGAGTTCTTAACAAGGTAAATGGAGAATTCTTCAATAGCCCTCATTTTTGTATGTTATTCTCTTACCATTTGATTTATTCAGCTTTGTAGTGCATGCTTCACTTCTGTCCATGTTGGCAGTCCCCTGCTGTTCTAGCTGCATATCTACAAACTCCTGTCGAAAATGCTTCCAGTGCTGCTGATGGAAAAACTAGAGTTTCTGTTTCATGGAGTGTGCTTTAAATTTTGGGTTATTAGAAATTAGTATTTCAGCTGCAAACAAGTTGAAGTTCTTACAATTTCTCACAAAAAAGATATTTATTTTAATGTGCTGTTTTCTTTCCATGGGTTATTTTTCTCTAGCTGCTAGGAAGGAACATTTACTGGTAGTATTGAATGTATTGCAGTTCTTAATTTCTAGCTATTAGGAATATATTGAGGACAAATCTAAATTACTTAGAAGTAATAGCAAAAAATCATGGCTCATCAAAATTGCTCCAGTTTGGGTCCATTCCAAGTACTCAGAAATTAATGAATAATACAGAGATAATGTAAAAGTTGCCTTCACTGTTTGTTTTTTTTTTTTTTTAGTGCAACCAATTTGCACAAAATAAAGATTATTATCCATTTTGACTGCTTTGTTTTACCATTGTTAATGAGGGAATGGTCTTGTTTGCATAAAGAAAAGCTTTACAGTAAGTTTGTGATAAAAATAACCAAATTGCTCATATCTCCATTCACTATTAGACTCCACTAGCCATTAGCTACTCAGTATTAAAAGCTTCTACTCTATAAAGGTCTTTGCTGCCCTTAAAACCCATGGCCTTTTCTCTCACAGAAAAGTACAGGCTGATAAGATGGAAGACTTACTAAATAAATTGTCTTACTTTTTCATTGTCATTCTTCATCAACCATCACTTGACTTTGAGCTAATTTTTGTCTCAATTAAGAAAAGCTGCATTTCTATTCAATAAAGCATGTAAGCACCTATTTAAATCTGAAACTTTATTCCCCAACACAACATCAGGATTCTGCTTTTGTGAGTTATGATCCTTGATAAGATTGCCTCTGAGTTCCACAGTAATTTCTGTTCTTAAATCTTGTACCCTTTTGCAGATTCTTCCCTTTCTTGTGGATAATATATATATAAAGCATTGGCAGGGGAGCACTAATTATTATAATGTCATCCAGTTGTGGGATGCGGTCTCTAACTTTTGACATGGGTTAGATAGCCATACAGTGAGAGTCAGAATCAGTTATTCTTTAATCAGGTCTTGTTTGGATCACTGCATTTGTTTTGTTTTTGTTTTATGAAGTATCTTACTTTTATGATGATAAATGTTGTTAAAGGCAATTGGAAGCCTGTGATTTTTCACTCATTTTTCTGTTTATTATGTTAATGACTTTACACATATGGTAAATATAGACTGTTGATTTCTGTTTTTCAGTTCCATTAGCATCTGTTCAATGCTGTTGTTTTTAAGCAACCTGTTTTTGCTGGCATTTGAGAGCAGTTATTTGCTAAACTATATCCCAAGTATCATCAGTAAAGCACTGTAGTTACTTGTATTATGGCCTTCAACCTGCATTGTACCCATCTGCTTTGCTCCTCTGTCTATCAGCCTTTCTGGGCCCGCTGCTGCTAGACACCTTCAGATGATGGTGATGTTGCTTGTCATTGCAGGGGTTTGGAAATTATATGCTATCTAGTAAAGAATCAGAACTCTTCTTTCCCTACACTCTATGCTACTCAGTCAATATTATTGAGAAATGTTTTAGTATTTGATTTTCTTTACCTTCAAGTGGTGTTTCTACCTAGGAGCCAATGGGAAAGCAGTTTTCTGCAAAGAATTATGTGGATCATTTTTAACCAAGTGCTGCCAGCATCTGATTTGATTTTGTTTTGCCAGTGTCCACTTGTACTACCTGTTTCCCACTCTGGAGGAAGGAGGATTAGCTACGTACCGCACTGCCATAGTTCAGAACCAACATCTGGCCATGTTGGCTAAGGTATGCTCCTGTAATTCACATGTCTGTATTTGAAACCTTATACAAGATTATTAGTGCTTGAATTGCTTCTTGAAGGGATCTGTCTTCTTCAAGCATCAGTCTTTGCAATTTTTTGTGCACAAGGTTTGGGATACAGGAGCTTTATTCAATGTGGAAGTACTCTAAAAGCAGGTTTTTAGGAAGAGTAATTGAGTAATTTTTTGCTAGCAGAATAGGTTTTTAGGATGCTTAGCTGAAGTTGTCTCTGTATTTAATTACTTCAGCACAAATAGCAAAACTGATAACAGAAAGGCAGTGGGAGTGGAAGGGAAACCCTAACAAACTGGCTGACTATAAAGGAACTGCCTGATAGAATATGGCAGTAGGCAGTAGTGACAGTGTGGAGATTGAGAGGAAGGCATCATTTTGTCTACTGCACAACTTAGGCCTTTACCTTCAAATTTAATGTGAACTGTGAAAGAGTGATATGTTAAGAAGTGTTTTAGTAAAAAAAAAAAAAAAAAAAAGAAAATCATGAAAGTGAGTAGCCTCTGAATTTCATTTCATTCTGTGAATGACGGGATCTTTTCCTTATATTTCTGCATGATACTGGTGTGTGGAAATTTGGCATATGAAGCTGAATAGGTCTTTGTTCATAGACAGTTCGGTAGCATTTTTATAAAGGCTAGACTGAGGCTTACTGGTATAATGTATTACGCTATGCATGTGTGCACACATCCCCCCCAACCAGTCCACTGTGTATTGCAGATGGTTTTCAAGTCTCTTTTAATCTTGTCTGTTCGTACTCACATAATAATTTAAACAAGCTTATACAGTCTTGAGATTTTGGCAAAAACTGCATGATTTCTATCATGCCTTTTTGCTGAATCCTCAGGAGAAATGCAAAGTAGGGAATGAACACAATCATTTTCCTCCAAAGCTTTCTTTAATGATTTAGATAGACATGAATTGATTGAAAAACAGTTCAATTGGGGCTTTGTTTTTAAAAATGGTATTAAACTGTCTGACAGTTGAATTTATTTTTAAAAACCAACATCGAGTGAGTTCATATATTTTTCAAGCTCTGTTCACAATATTTGTCATTCTAAATGGTCTTCCTCTGAAAATTTATTGTGACATTTTTTTAAACTCTATTTGTATTAGATACAACTGGAAGTATTTGAAAAATCTCTACGTTCATGTATTTTATGTGACCTTGATTTCTTGCCCTTTAACCCAAGGAGTATCGTGTTCTGTTCTGTTTACTTCCTCAATAACATTCTCAACTCCTTAAGTTCTCATAAGCGTATGGAGTGCTGTTTTAATTGAAGGTCAGAGGATAAATTTTTGTAGCTTCTGAGGGAAGTTGTAGCAGAAATGTTAAAAATGATTTGAGCCCTATGTCTTAATCAGAAATAGCAGATAAAACATGCAAAATGTTCTGAATGCAAGCTCCAAAACTGGAGCTAAGATATTGGAGGAAAGAGTTAACAGAAATAAATGAAAACAGTCTTTAAGTAGTTTGAATTCATTATAAAGAAATTAATATTCCACTTCTGTGCTGTCTGCACTGTATAAAGTGGTAAATGGTGGTTCCTTCTGTTCAGGAGCAGTGAAAAGGCACTTGCTCACTGAAAATGGAAGACTTCTTTTTTTCAAACTGAAGTGTGTCTAAACCGCATATACCAAAACCTTAGCTTTTTCACTTTTACCTCTTAAATATGCTCTGGAAAGCTGAAGTTCAAAGTTAATGAGGAATCAATCAGTAGCAACTTGCACCCATTTGGGAAGTACCTATTCTCATACAAATTTTGCAAGATGCGCGATTCTCCTCCTTAAAAATCTCAATAATGGGCTTGTGTCAAAAAGATGAATACAGAAAGAGAAGCTAGTAGCTCTTGCCTGCATTTCTATAGCAGAATTATCATATATTATATAAGGTATCTTACTTACTACCTAAGATTCTGACTGGCAAGCAGAATTATGGCTTAGGAAACATGAATGTTAATGATGTTCAGTTGAAAGGAAAAAGAAAGCTAGGTGGCACTGTGGATTAAAATATCATTTTTCACCTTTCAATGCCCAGAGGCTTTTGGTATTACCACCTGTTGAAACTCATAAAGGAATAAGTCAGATGTTTACTGGATTGTATCTGCCAGAGTTCCCATTCTCTCATCCTCTTCCTGTAGGAGCATTAAGTCCCCTTCTCTTGAATGCCCCCCTGGCATTTCTGAAAGCAAAGCCTGCGGGGGCTAACTAATAGCAAGAAACATGGCATTTTTTAACATCCATCTGATATCAGATGTTTTTTGTCACACTCTCAGCCTTCCTTATGAACTCCTTCCTAAATCTAACTAGTAACGTGTTTTGCTCTGGACTCCCTTGAAACTTTGGGTAATTCCTGGCTTTGTCCTGGTATAGCAATGTTTGCCTCTTGTAAACAAAGTGTTCTAATTTTATCTTTAAAATCTATGTCTGAGCTAAAACTACGGAGAACAGCTTTAATCTTCCCTCAAATCCAGTTGCTGTGTAATAGCATTGTAATTGAGCTCTAGTGACTAGAACTTATACTTTTGGGTATTTATAACCATGTCCTTGACTCTTTTACATGTTCTGCAGAAGCTGGAACTGGATCGATTTATGCTTTATGCTCATGGTCCAGACCTTTGCAGGGAATCGGATCTCCGCCATGCCATGGCCAACTGCTTTGAAGCCCTAATAGGTAAAACACATATTTCTGTGTATGCAAATAGCTCTGTTTCGTTATGTCTACATAGCATGCAGGTCTGTCCTGAGTAGCGCTTGTGAGGTAGGTAACAGTAAAGCTTAAATTTGTCATCTCTTCATATTTCTTGTGCATATACCATGTGTGTAACACTATGAACGTGCAGGAGAATCTCATCTTCAGTGTTCTGCTTCCCACATACAGAATACGCACTCATTTCATGATGTCGTGGTGTGGCATTTCCACCTGTTGCTGCAGGACTCTACCGCTCATGCACCACTATGGACTGGCATGTGCAGTTTTTTGGGAAGAAACAGTTTGTTCATCATGGCCTGTCAGGATGGAATCTCACTGCTTTCATTAGTATTTGCACAGACCTGCAGGCAGGGAGTCCTGCTTCAGCCCTCACATTTAATCTGTGGCTTGCTTTCAGAGTACAGCAGTCCACCATTTCCTCTGTGCCCTGATAACCTGCAGGTTAAGCGTGACATTTGTCCAGTAATTGTTTTGGTTTTTGTCTTTCCATTTTTCATTTTTCTTACAAATAAAAAAGCATGGCAATATGTCATTAAGCTACTAAAACCCACTAGCTGAGGATGAAGGGGGAATTGGGTCAAATTTGCTGCTCGTCAGTAGGATGTTGATCAGTGACTGTGATAAATTTATGTGGGAGAAGTCAGGGGTGCCTGAACACAGTTACTGAAATCAGCAAAAAGAAAGGGGGAAATCTGCTTATGTCCACACACGTTCTATTTTAAGTAGCTTTTTTTAATGAATCCATTTGATTATATGAAACAACTCAAACTTGACTGATTTATTTTCATATTCGTACAGATGTACTGTATGTGATACTAACTATGATAAAGGCTTAACTGTGTTCTAGGTCTTTACATTCTATCCAGGCTCTCAAAGCTTTTTGTTCTGCTTTGAAAAAAGATCACAGCAGGCTTAGATGGCAAGTTTTGTGTGTTCTGCCTTGGGCCAAATTGTATTTCATCTTATCAAGAAATGAGAGTTGTCGTTTTAACTCTTTTGCTTTCTGTGGGGTACTTTGATCTTTAATTTAAAAATAAAAAATAGAAAAAAGAATAAACAACACAACAACAAAAAAAAAACAACACAGAAAACGAGGTCTAGATATGTATCTTTGGCTTCATTTATATCCTTCAGTCTGTTTGGGACACAGTGAAGAGGACTATTGGACAAGCATGGAGATTCTGTGAGAATTCTGTGAGAGGACAGGCTTGCTGTTTAACATCCGATACAAAATTGTTCATGAAGTTCGTTGAGCAGTAAGGTTTTGTCAGGACCATAGCAAAAATCTGGCCACCTTGCAAAAGGACTGTAAAAATGGATGTGGGGCTTGAAGCACCTACTTGAGAACCCTTCTAGAAGTCAGATCGTTTTTCCTTGTGATGAAAATTATAAGCAAAAATATAAGTAGATTGTCCAGGGCCTGCTTGAAATTCAGTGGTTTCAAAAGTGCCTTAGGTAAGACGCTCTTAGAAACTCCACAGCCATTCTCCAAAGAGTCTAAAGAAAGTGGCTGACCTACTGAGAACATTACAAAGGAGGGAAGAGGTGGAAGCACAGTGATGCAGTGTTCTCACTTTGTGGGAACAGTGACTCTGTTGCTGTGCTTCACGTAGCTGTGTATTTCCTTTGCTTTTGAGCAGATGTGCTTACGAGGACAAGGTAGAGGTTTTCCAAAGCCCTTCTGTAAAAATAATCAGTGGACCAACTGTCATTACTAAATTTTAAAAGCTCCTGTGCAGATACGGAGTGCATATGATACACACAAAAAGCATTATTTGCTAGCACAAGTCACACAGTTTGTTATAAACATGCTGCTGGAAGGATAGCAAGGACTGAATTTGCAGTTAATATATATATCTGCAAGTAATCTCTAGAAATTGCAAGAGATGCTGTTTCCATTTCAGGTAATGTATTGTGATACTGGGGAGCCACTGAAATTTGGAATAGTCCTGGCATGTTTATATGTAGAATATAATGTTGAAAGTGTAGAGCAAATGAAAACTATTTGCTGTATATTGAAATGTATTTAATGCCTGTCACTGTCTACACATACGGTATAGACAGCTGGAAAAGTGCAAACTGCTTCTAGAAATAGATTGCTTCTGGCCTAATTTGCTTAAACTTTGCTCTTTGGATGTATCATTTTCTTTCAAAGACTTAACTGTGTCAGCTTTTTCTCTGTGTTTTACAGCTATTGATTTATGCTGGTGTCTAATGTGTTTTAGATTTCTCAAAAAATTGGATATTCTGTTTTGATTATTACCACAGCATGCTGTTACAAAATAACTAGTAAACTAGTGGTTCGTATTTTCTAGGAACTAAATGTGTTATTGGACTTTAACATATTGATCTCCTCATATAGGAGCAGTTTATCTGGAGGGTAGTCTTGAAGAAGCCAAACAATTATTTGGACGTTTGCTCTTCAATGACAAGGTATTTATGTATCTTTATGACTCTGCTTTCATTTAAAAAATAAAAAATCTGAGAATCACAAATGAAGAGGAAGACAGCTGGGACTTAATTCCTAGAAATTAAATATAATACAGCATATTTATGACAGCAAATTGCATTGGTTCAGGCGCAGAAATTCATGGTTGTTCCCTCAGGGATGCTGTGTGTTGTTTGGCTTAGGGGGGGCTTAGGGGTGTGTGGTGTGGGAAACCTGCAGGCTTCCATGCAGTGCTACTCTGACAAGTGTTTGGTGCTGTGGATTCATTCGGACAGCATACTTTGGAGAAAGGGTGCACATGTTGAGTAATTGTTCTTGTTTTATAAGTTAAGGGAATCATATGATCCCCAATAGTTTTAGGTGTATCTTTGAAAAAATTATTCTGGAATAGGTTAAATACCCTGTTAGTCAGATTCTTTCTAGCGTGTTTTGTCTTCAGTCACTTTTAGTTGGAATTTTTCCCATATAATGACTAAAGGAAATAACCTGTACATTCTGCTGGGACAATGCATGTGGCAGTGGTTAGGGGATTAATTACACCATCTTTTCCATCTTGAAAATCTATGAAATAATGAACTGTAGTTGAAATTTTGAAGCCTGCTGTCACTCAGTGTTTACAGACACCTAGAAGGTAGTAATGAAGGAAACCTGTATGAAAGACAAGAGCGAAGAGGGTTTTGTCTTCTTTATTTCCCACTTCAGGTTAAAACAAACTTGCTACTAAAGAATGCAAATAAAGTTAAACCTCAGGCCTGAAAAATTATTTCTTTTTTTTATGATTTCCTTTAACCACTTTCTATTTGGTTCAAGGATTCTTCCTCCTCTTTGACACAAGTTAATTGGGAGAACTACAGGCAGTTTGAACAGCAAATACACGATTTTAAAAATTAGTTTGCCAGCACTATTGAATTTGCAATAAGCAGTGTCAGCATCTGAAATAGTTCAGTATTTCAAGTAATGACATTTTATTTAGTACTGTGGAATTTGTTAAATGACTCCCTTGAGCATTAAAGGCATCTCTCAATGTTCGCAGGACCTGCGGGATGTATGGCTTAATTATCCACTACACCCACTCCAAGTAAGTGTATTCCTTTCTTTAATAAATTTCATAGTTCTGTTCTATTTTCAGGGGTGCTTCTCCATAGGTTTTCAGTGTAGTGACATCTCAGAAAATTTTCTAAAAAGTGACCAGAGGAGTATAAGTATTTGCCTTTATCTTTTTGGATAAAGAACGAATCTCTGCCTTTCTTTGGATTAATCATCCACCTTTCCTTGGCTCACGTTTGATATATAACTGCACTTCTCATATGATAAATCTAGTGAGATGTAACATCTTGGCATCTTCCTGTTCATCTTCTGCAAGCTGGTGGAAGGGTACGAAAGCAGTCTGTGTATGTATTTTGTTAACCTGAAATTAACACCGAAACTTTAGCATTAGAAAGGCACAATATTTAAAAGTCTTAAGCGTGTAGTGCTGGATTTTTTGTTGTTGTTGTTCATTGTTTCTGTGATTTTAGTACCTTTAATTTCAAAGGTGTTTGAAAACTGGTGTATCTTCCATGCATTTATGAAGTGCTCAAGCAGTTAGCTTACAAGGCCAGAAGCTGGGAGAACTCATTCTCACTCCGTGCCCCCTGAGTGAATTCTGGATGAGAGCTAAAGCAAATCACAGAACTTCTCTGCACACTAGCTCTCCATCTTCACATTTTCCAAGTGTGCAGGAGTGCCACCAGAATAGCTGTATTCACATTGTGATCCAGTCAGTAAGGTTTTCAGGATCACACAGACATCTAAGAGTGTTTCTTTTGTCCAAACAAATCTCTGATGTTTTTTGCAGAGTCAGCTTGAGTCCTTTGAAACACTTTTGTGAGCACACCCCTCAGCAGGTCACTTTGAGTACTTCATCTGAAGAATTGCATATAGCTATATGGTTATTTCAGTAGTTACATAGATTAGATTAGTAGTAACAAATCTTTTGCAGCAAATCAGTGCGCCAGCTGGAGCATTTTAAAACTATGCTGGGTATAAGACAAAGCTAAACAGAAAAGAGCGTTAGTGGGAAGATAAACTTCCAAGAATACAGCACCAGCAATGCTAAATGGTGGCACCAGTTCCCAAGAAAACTTATATTTTTCTAAATTTCTTTATTTTTTGTTTTATATTCTTTGTCTCAGTTTTCATGAGGAAGGCTTAGATACTTTTTAGAGATTGGATATAACATATGCAGCTTGTCATTTCTTACTCCTGCCTTAAGTCCTGAATGATGAAAGCGTATTTTCTTCCGTGTCCCAGAAGCCATCCTAGTTCTCTATATGCTGGGAAGTGATATGTAGTCTCCTCAGGCTGGCCTTTGAATAGAACTATCCTGAAAAGCATCTTTAAAAATTCTTAAAGTGTCTATTACAATATGGCAAATAAGATTCAAATTAAATAATAGTAATTCCAGATGAGATATATAGGGCTGTAGGCCTGTAACCTTATCATTTTGAAGCAGTCAAATCAGTGGAGACTATGGTTAAGAAAATATTAAGTAAAACAGTAACAACAACAAAATAGTGAGTTGGTCACTCCTTAGGTAGATTCAAAGGAATGGCTGAAACATAAGAAATGCGTGGATTAAAATGACCACATCATACAAGGAATAGAGACCATCATCAGATTTCCTCAGGTATCTTTGTTGAAATACAAGCAGTTCCCATTCACACTTCAGGGAGGAGGAGGAGGGGTGAGGTGGCAGTTGGTTAACAGTACCAAATTATTCAGGTAGCAGGGATGTCGTGTGGCTGATGAATTGCAGCCTGACAGTCAGAATACAAAAGTCAGTAGCTGCTATATGAAAAAGAGAATGAAATTTTATGTAGCCTATGAAAAACAGAGTAGAAGTTCAGTGGTGTTTAAATAAAAAAGCAAACTGAATGTTATCAATTAATTCAAAAGGGACAGAGAACAGACCAAAAAAGATCATAACACCACTTCAAAAAAGTGGTGATAACAGTGTGGCTTGTGTACACTTGAGAATTATCAGGTGTTCTGCTTCACATTTTGAGAAAAAGACTGTAGTGGAAATGTAAAACATAAAAGATGCTGGGAAGAAAGAACTAGTGAGGCAGCAAAGGTATCCTAAAAAGGATCAAAGGTATGGATGAGCTTTCTCTTTGAAGAAAAGCAAGTTAGATTGTGATCTTCAGGCTGGGGAAAGAGATGATGGGAAGGGAGGGCCTGGAAGAGACACCTCCAAAACATGAGTAGATGCGCAGTTAGCCATTTGCTCACTGCCTGTTCCAGTACAGACAGCAGGAGTTCAAAATTGAGTAAGCTGGTTCTTTAGGAAAAAGTAGTGGATCTGGAATATGTTGCTGAACATTTCTGGGAATGCCGAAAGCTTTCATATGGCAATGATCAAGCTTGTGGAAGACATTTGCACAAACTACTGTAGATCACTAAGTGTGCTTAACATAAAACTTGGCAGTCCATTGCAGTTGATAGTTGGAGAATTAGATAGTTATTAGGAAAGTCCTTAATATGCTTGCACACTTATTACAAGCATCTTCATCAGAATACCTTCTCCTTTAAGGCACTGGTGTACAAGACAAATGCCTAGGGTGGCTGGAGGAAATGCCTAAGTAATTTCCCAGTCCTGGGAAGCTATTTAACAATGTTGCACGACAGGGAAAGCAGACAAGAAATTGATAAGAACACTTAGTGACCTAAAGTGATCATTTTAATTTTCTTGTTTTTGTGAATTTTATATTCTTCATTTTTAATACTAAAGTGAGAGAAATAGATTTGTGTTTTCTTGTCTTGCTTCATTGTCACGCTTTAAAAAAAAACCACACAAATGACAAAACAAACAAGCAAAAAAATCTCAAGCAAGTTCATCAGACCTCAGCAATTTCTTTTATTGCTAATTATGAAAGACAAAAACCCAGAGGAAACTGGGTTTTCTCAGTTAAACTATCCATAAAATGCCTTGTTCAGTTTGTTCTTTGACCTTGTTTTACAGAAGGTTTGTTTTTCTTTTGAAAAATTCTTGTAATACTTTGAAATATCTTGAAGTCATCAGTTTGTCATTACTTGCTTTTCATCTTATTTACAGCTGCAGGAGTCTAATACTGACAGGCAACTCATTGAGACCTCACCAGTTCTTCAAAAGCTTACAGAGTTTGAGGAGGCAATTGGAGTCATCTTTACTCATGTTCGACTTCTAGCTCGTGCGTTCACTCTGAGGACAGTAGGCTTTAACCACCTGACTCTGTGAGTGTGTGGCAAGGGCCCTCTTAGAACTCAATGGCTCTACTGTTAGTAGACCAAATTGCTTTATTTATTGACAAATTCTAGGTGATCTGTCTGTTCTCCAGAAAAGAAAGAATAGAAACGTTCACCAGCCTTCTGTGGCTGAGTATCTTGTCTCTGGTAGTAATCAGTAGTGGAAAATTTGGGAATTCTAAGGGTGTTAGAGAACCATCCTGGTGTGTCTTCTGAGTTTTCTGTACTGTTGACTTTGGGACGTTATTCCTGATACTGTATCAGAACATGCTTGAAGGTACACTTGGTCAGAGGCAAAAAGTAAAGTCATGCTTTTTAGGAGAACTACAGCCCTTGTATTATAATGTGTGTACAGCACATAAACATGCAGCAGGCTTTGGATGTCCGACTAGAGCTGTTAGACCCTATTGTAAAGAAAACAGTCATACCAGTGGATACTTAGTCCAAGCTCTCACATGGGTTTAAACACTGATCCTTCTGTTTCTTGTGAAGGGACAGACCCTTTTTCTCTACTGAAGTCATTGCATTCATTGATTTGTTTACTTATAAGAAGTTACAGTTTGAGATTTCATCCCATCACAAACCTGGTATTAGCGGCTATCCTAGGCTATAATCTAATAACTGTGTTTATCTATAGCTACCCTGATTTGCTGTCTAACTCAAACTCAGTGTTACAGCAGTTTCTGTTGTGTTTTCGTCTCAGCAGTGTTAACACTGGAAATTTGTCTTAAATGTGTTTAAAAATAAGTAAGGCTCGCTTTCAGATCTTTCTTTATTTTAATTTGTATATGCATGCTGCTTTTGTTTTTTCCTCCCTGAGTACTTATTGATTTTGCTGCATTGATGTCTCATTTTTCAGAGGCCACAATCAGAGGATGGAATTCCTGGGTGACTCCATAATGCAGTTGGTAGCCACAGAGTATTTATTCATACATTTCCCCGATCATCATGAAGGGCACTTAACGGTGAGACTGCCATCAATCATGCTCTCCGGGAAAGCAAGTGTGGGATGGAGGCTGAAATTATGGAAGTGGCAAGTGAATTATTCTAGATTTGATTAATAAAAGAAGCCCAGGCAACCACTGTTCTTAATAAGACTTGGTTAATTTTAAGTCGTGAGTTGTGCAGTGAGTAGGAAATGGTGATTTATGAGCTCAGCGCAATAATTTTTGTTGTCTGTGGAATGGATCAATAATTTTAAGGATGTCAGTTATAAAATTGAGAGATACGACTAGGTCATATTTAAAGACGTGTTTAAAACCATTTATTTAAATATATACATTACATACTTTTTTTTTTTTTCATTTTCCATTGAACCTGTAACAAGGTGGCAGGGTTACCTTTCCAGACAAGAAATTCTTACTGTTTTACTGTGTTTTACGTCTTGCTTTTATTCTGTATCCCCCATAGTAACTTTGGAATTTAGTTTTAGTGTTACAGTAATATACAATACTGTAAATATAGGGTTGTACGATAGGTTGCTTTTTCTCCTGATTAACTGAATCCTTTAGTACTGCAGCTCATATTAAGTACTATGAGAAGATGATGTTCTCCTTAGTCTTTTTAATTTTTTCTTATTGATTGTATTATGGATATATGTCAAGCTCTCTAGTTAAAATTAGGGAGTAACGTTTTAGATGTCTTTGCTAGTGTAAGTGGTTTTCTGAAGTCAAGAAAGAGATGGTGATGCTAAATCTGAAAGATAGTGTATTTTTGAAGAAAACACTGCATAGCTGTTTTCAAGAAACAGAAAGTATATGTGCTCTCATTTTCATTTTTCCTTACCGTTTCATAACTTTCATTTACATTTGTATGAATTGTTCTGCACTGTTTAGGAGAAGGAGTTGATAAAGCCTGATCTTTTGATGTAAAAATTAAAAGGGAAAGAGGCTTGTCATTAATTTTTCACAGAGGAAACAAAACATAAGGCAGAAATCCAGATTTTCTGTTTGTTTGGTTTTTTTTTTCCTTTGTAGGTGACTTTTAAGAACGTAGGCATCAGTGTTGTTATAGTAAGATAAATCTTTCAAGAATTGCTTGGCAGGAAGGACATAGTGTTGTTGTTAATGGGTGTGAATACTCGAACGGCAATCAGGAGGTCTCTGTGTTGCTTAATTTAATGATAAGTGAATTGGCAAGTAGAACAAGCTGTACATTGCCCAAGATTTAGGGGAAACTACAAAGAGTAGAATGAATGCTGAAAGTACATAACAATACAGAGAGGTAGGCAGTGCCTAGAAAAGAAATTTAATTTTGTAGATTCTTACAGTAGAAAAGAAAATAGTCTTTTGAAAGTCTTTCAAGTGCGAGGACAAGTAAAGCGAGGCTTGTGAAGTAAGAGTAGACGAATGATGTGGGACCTGAAGAGAAACAGCAAACCTGAGGTTCCTTCCTCCTGGGGAGATTTGAAGTAATGAAACATCAGATGGATGTAGCGTTGAAGGCAATGTAAAGGATGGGAAGATATGATTGACAGGCTGTGATGTGCAGTGATTACTTGTGATGAAAAATCAAAATGAATTGTATATTAAAAAAAAGGGGGATTGTAATCTTACATGTGTATTTCGAGACAGCTAAATGATCTTTGAAGAGAAAAAAAAATTGTTGAGCAGTGGAAGCTACTTCAGCACTGTGCTGCAGTCATGGGTAGTAGTGCAACTGGCTCTTGTCATCTCTAATTCTCTGTGTAATGTGTATGTGGTTCCTTTATGATAGTACTAATCATGGATTTGGGTTGTGTTGAAGTAAATATTCTGTGAATGCAGCAAAAGAAATTGTGATTCTCTCATTGCAAGAAACCAATAATTGTCACTTGATTTTTGTTGCGCTCCTTTCTCATAGGTTGCGTACTGTAGTTAGGATTTGGTTGGGAGGAGTATTGATTGTTTGTCTTAAGGATGTAAAAAGAAATGATTTTGGAAAGGAACAAACAGAAGATGAGTTTTAGCACAGGATAGGGAGAAAGGTATTAATCCTTTTTGCAGTCTGCCTAGTTTATGAAGATCAGGTTGTGAGTATCTGCTTCATACATCATTGCCAAACAAATTATGAACATACTGTTCTTTATTTATCTGTTGTCAGAGATGAAGTATCAAGTGTAGTGAATAAATCTTTATTTTCATAAGCCCAGTTGACATTCTGGAGCCAGGTAGAATATAACTTGGATCTAATAAGCAGTGCAAATGTGACATGGAAGACAAAGAGGTAAAAATGTTGTATGCAGCTTCAGGACTCTAAATTATATATAAGCAGTGGAAAGGAGAGGTGTACTTCTCAGAATATCCCCTATTTGTTAAATGACACTGTCTAATTAAAAAAAAAAAAAAAGCTCATCTGTAATAGGCATTCAGAAAAATTGAATGGAAACCTGAAAGTCAAAAATTCTCCTTTCAGCTATCTGAGATTTTATCTTTGACAGATTTCTGTTTATTTAAGCAATCTGCCTAAAGTCAGAGGTAAGCGTTTCAGAGGCTGCTAGAGAATCAGATATCCTGGGCATTGTCACACGTTGAAAATGTTGTAGCCTGATCTACATCGAGGATGCATTAGTTCAGCTATGCTGCCTTGAGTAGAACAGTGTAATAGTGCAAATGGGCTATCCAGATAAGCATTTTCTTCCCTGCCCAAATGAATGGAGCATCTTTCTCACCTGCTGGTTTTGAAACTAAACAGTTTTGCTTCAGTGTGTGTTTCAATTACTGTCCATTTCTTATTTGGTGGACGCTTGGGACTGTGCTATTGTCTCTAGAATGTTGTATGTTTATACTTTGTGTGGGATAAAGTTTATATAACTTTGTGTACTACTTACAGAAGAAAAATGCAGAAAGTATAGAACTGATGAAGGGGTGGTACGTGAATGCAAAGAAACTCCCAAACCAGCATTTTAAATGTAAGACTTGTCTGTAGAAGGAATGCGTTTTGAGATAAAAAGAATTAAAATCTGATGAGAACTGAAACATAAGGGAAAAATCAGTGGTAGAAAGAATGAGGATGTGAAGAAGTGTGTGTGTGTGTCTACCTAAATAATTTAGGATGTGCTGAAACAAACACCAATAGACTGGGAAGTGAGAGGCAGCAAGAATAAAAACGAATTATTTCCCCCAGCTCTCACTACCTTTTATATTCTGGCATTGCTAATTGTTACCATTGGGTGGAATTCTTTCTATTGCAGTTGTTGAGAAGCTCTTTGGTGAACAACAGGACGCAGGCCAAAGTGGCAGAAGAGCTGGGAATGCAAGAGTTTGCCATCACTAATGACAAGACAAAAAGACCCGTAGCTCTTCGAACTAAAACTCTGGCTGATCTCTTGGAATGTGAGTCAGTGTGGTTTTATAACCACACTTGTGCAATTTTTTTCCTCAGGGCTTATTTAAGAAAGCCATCAGAAATCTTACAAATCACTATTAAAAAGGAATGTTGAGATTTTCAAATCACTGCTGTCTATATCTCTGCTTACCAAATTTATAAACACCAACCTAAATTTTTGAAGTCTGTATGTGAGCATGTCAGGAAGGTGTAAGGATACAGAACTGTAGTCTTAGAAGTGATGACCATGGTGATAATGTTGCCTAGATCAGAAGAATGTCTTAAAAGTTAAAACTTGCCATTGAGTCAAGCTGTTTTAACAGTAATCAGTGTTTGTGGTATGTTCTTGTCACTGTCAGAAGATAAAGTAATGCCATCAGCTGTGAGTATTTCTGTGGTTCATTTAACTACATTTTACGAGATATTTCAAAATGATCATTCTCTTAGGAGGAAAGCCATGTGGAAATTAAATGCTCTTTTTCCATTAATGAAAGTGTGTGCTAAGTTATTTCCAGAGAAAGTGGAAATAGTGATAAATATTGTGCAAAGAAAGTTAATCTGTATCTGTGTGTTTTGATACATTTTGTGAGCCATTCAAGCTCCTTGGCTTTTGCCAAATCCTCTTAGCAAATAGAAATTGCACACAAACAGTAGTGATTTATATCTAAAACTTCTTTTATGGTACCTAGTAGTGATTTATTAGTAAGTAGCCATGGTCTGCTGGTTAAAATGTGAGATTAGGAGCTGAGTGTTGTTTCTAACTCCTTAAGTGACTGAGTGGATTTGAGTAAGTCATTTAATCTCTTGGTCAACTTTGTTTTTTCCTGTGTATGCAAGATAATAATCCCCTCATCAGATTGCTGCTGTGAAACATAATTGAATGTGGCTTTAGAGTATTCAGAGAGATGCTCGTTTCTAAAAGTGCAAGCCATTAACATTCTCCTTGGATGAATGACAGTGCCTATTTTTTTTTTCTCCTTCCCCCCAGCCTTTATTGCTGCCCTATACATTGATAAAGATTTGGAATATGTTCATACTTTCATGAATGTATGTTTTTTTCCACGACTAAAGGTAAGACCAGTCAGTTTCTTCCTTGGCTATCTCTACTGTGTTTTAACACATTATCATATTTTGGACTCCTATCACATTCTCTCAACTGCAAAAACATTTTTTGTGAACTTCTTATAGGAATTCATTTTAAATCAAGATTGGAATGACCCTAAATCTCAGCTTCAGCAGTGCTGCTTGACTCTCAGGACAGAAGGAAAGGAACCAGACATTCCTCTTTACAAGTAAGAGCCAGCGTCTGACAGATACCAACTCCTTATCAATCTTTATTTTATAAGGAGGAAGATGATATCAATCATCCTATGTTTTTCCCAGAGCTTAGTTTTACTGTGGTTATCCAAGCCCTCCAGTCTCTGTCTGAAGATAGAAAATGTTGAACTATTGTTTTCCAAGCTTTAGATGACCTACACCATGACAGAATTAGCAAGTGATTTTAACTTTTATAGGTTCAGGGGAAAAGGTTTTGTGTGATGGACAGATAGAATTATTTCATTGGCATAATTCTGTATTTTTTATTTCTTCAGTGTAAGGAATTGGAATATTTTATATGGAATGATTACAACAGTGGCTATTTGGATATGAAGACAAATAGATTGGAGGTATCTTGACAGTAATAGTATGAAGTTTCTCTGCATTCCTGCAGAAGCACAATAAATGCTTCATTACATATTCTGCTTGTAGGCCACATCAGATGCATTTGAAGAGCAGCAATGATCCTGGATATTTTCGGTGTGCAATTTACCCAGTATCTGTCTTCCTGTATAGTAACAGAAGAGCTCATGGCGATGAATTTTAGCTAGGATACCTCAGTTAGATAACTAAATCTGGATTAGATGGATTTCCCTTCTCTTTCAGTTTTAAAATAGACAACAGCTGCCTTAGTGGCAATAATAAAATTTCAGAATTGTATGCTTTGTTCACATCTACTCAATTATGTAGGAATGTGTGCAATATTAGCCTCCAAAAGAAGAGTTAATGGCTAAGAAAGTTCAAGATTTTTGCTGGTGTAATTATTTGATCAAAAATTCATTCTTCATGTAAGTCTGAGTGCATTTGTCACATTTACTGAAGAAAAGTTCTCAATGAATTGTAGCAATTCAGTTAGTGAGAAACAATACTCTTCAGACATGATCGTTTCAACACTGTAACTGATGCTTTGCAAGCATCACTTCTCAGTGTCATGGTGTGAGGGCTTACACCTTCATCTTGAGTGAGGGAGATGAATACAAAAGATGTGATTCCTGATTCTTGTAAAACCCACTGAGTATCAAGTACCAAATGTTTGTTTTGTTTTTGCTATGACAATAAATTGATTTCTGTCTTACAGCTTAGAGCTAGTAATATGCTGTTATCTTCCTATTATCTTGTTAAATTCTTTTTCTTGTGGTTATGTGTTTCACTGCACTTAGTGCTGCACCCCAGTCAGCCACACTGGGGTGACTTTTATTTGCTCATGTTTATTGTTACACAGCACACAGAGTACTATAGTTAGATGCTTAAAAAATTGATGTGAAATTGTTGCTTTTTCCAAAAAGAAACAAGGTAATGGACAGAACTCAAGCTGACAGCAGGGAGAGATTTGGGACAGAAGGAAGAGACAGCAGAAGAAGCAAATTCATTGCATGTCTAGGGAATTATCTTTTTCTCCTGTAGGTGGTTGTTGATGCATGTCCTAGACGTTCCTGGTTCAAAAGTAAAGTTTGTTTTGTGACAGAAACTCAAACTTTTCAAAGCTGATGGAAAAGTACTGTGACAATTCATGATGTAGTGTGGGATCTCGTCCTGTATTAAGTCCTTGCTAGATGAGCAACTCTCTGTGCTTAAAATTATAGAGTGCACAATCATATTGGTGTGTTTATTTGCAAATGCAGATAGTGCAGATTCATGTAATTTAAGTGATTTTATTCCAAGTGTATTCAGTGTTTCAGCACTTTGTGCATAGTATGCATTTTTTCCTATAAGTGAAAGTTTTAATTTTCACAGAGTTCTCCTGACTAAACATTGAAGAATAAGTACATTTGATATGAATGAGATGCATTTTATGTAAATTACTTCTCTTTGTTGCACACGCACCATATGGGTGATCTGTGGGTTAATGTAGTTTATAAAGCCATCCTTCAACTCTTGCTCCGTGCTATGCATTAGTTCCACTAAATGTATTTACCGGACTGAAAGCTTGGTGATGTATGTGCCACTGACAGATTCTGCTTTTTAATACCTCCTGCCTGAATAAATCATGTCTCTCGTTTCAGGACTCTACAGACAGTGGGACCATCTCATGCCAGGACATACACAGTAGCTGTTTATTTCAAAGGGGAAAGAATAGGATGTGGTAAAGGCCCAAGGTATAGTGGAAAAATTTAATCTTGCGTTGTTAAAGTTAATCTGACTGTGACAGTTTCCAAAACGACCCACCATGATGAAGATGGGGAATAATCTGGTTAGCCTTAGAGATTAACGCTGCGGTGCATTCCTCTAGTCATTCTGAGTTTCTGCCTCAGGAATACCTGAAGAGCTCAATGTTGGTATACTTCTGGATCTTAAACTTCATTTTTTGGTGAACTTAAGAACAAGATGGCCAGCATTAATCTCCTATTTGTGACTCTCAGCGTGGAAACTGCAGAACGGAGTACTGGAAATAACAACTTCATCTTTGGCTTTACTGCTAGATTATTGTTCAGCTTAGGCTGGCAAAGTTGGGGTGCAAGATTCCTAATTTTCATCAGATGTTATCACTTCTAGGAATTTTGGAATGACTTCTACAATTGCAAAATTTTCAACCACACACACACAAAATACATCATCTTATTTTGTGCTACCAAAACTGGTAGTGTTTATAAAAATGTCTTTTGAGAGTTTATACCTCTGATTTTGTTCCTTTTTTTCTCACAGCTCAAAAGCTTCAACAAAGGATAAAGTAGAACATTTTGTTAGCATTATTGATCTAAGTTTTAAAATGTTCTGTTGGAGCTGTAGAGCTATTGCTCTCATAATTATAGAAAGGGTGATAGATATTCTGGAAATTTCTGGCTAATGGTTATCCAAAGAGTTTTGTAGTAAAACTCTGTCTTGTAATAACTTTATTAAATAGATACTTCAGTTTATTCTGTACAAGTTAAATCATATTTAACGTGTTTTTGTTTGACTTTCACAGTATTCAACAAGCAGAAATGGGAGCTGCAATGGATGCACTTGAAAAATGTAAGATATTGGAGCAACATAGAAAATTGCTTTTAGTTTGGACTTCAGTGTGACGTGCAGGTTTTATGGGGGAGCAAAATCAGAATGTACTGAATACTTTCAGCTTCTGAGTAACAGATTTGCTTATTACTACTTGTAAGCAATTTTATAAAAGCCTACAAGTATCATTCATCATTGTAAAGAGAGTTGATATGTTACAGGAAATGTATTTAGATTTTATTCCATGCTTAAAAATGCAGTGGGATAAACCTTCTTAGTCTGACAGTGAGGCTATCTAACTCATGTAATTCAGAGGAGGAGGAAAATTAATTTTAAGTTGCCAATTTGATCATAAGTTTTACAGAAGATAGGTTAAAATCTAACAGGCAGGTCCCCATCCAATGTAAGTTGATACTTTTCTGTTAACAACAGCTTATATCAGCTGAAGGTACAGTGATCCTTGCCTGCATCTTTCAAAACTGTGCAAAGGAATGCAAGCATGGGAGCAGTTGCAATGAAATCTGAAGTGAGAGAAGTGAGCATATGCAGACATTTTATATGAAAACCAGTCACTCAAGTTAAAATGCCAGGTGTGCAGGTATTGCAAACAAATAGATGATGTGGTCTGTGCAGCAAAAGAAGCTCTCTATATGGAAAGGCTAAAGGTACATTTTTACGATTGATTGAAATATCTGCAGTTCCTCAAATGCCAGTGGTTTTTAATCTATTATATCTGCATATGGAAATTGCAGGACTTAAACTTTCAGGAGGCAATGAATCCCTGTCATTCCAGGGATTTCAGACCTTCATATCCACCTGCTAGGCATAGGCATCTCACCACCAGTAAATTTGACAAGTAGAAGAGACAGCTTCTCCAGCAAATAACTGCAAAATCTCCCTGAAGTTTTCTTTGTTTTTTTTCTTGTGAGTGTTGCCTCTCAAAGAGCTGTGAACTTCATCCCCTATTTTAGTGTAAGACTTCTCACTGCTCTTTTCTGATTTATGTTTTTGTTGGGTACCATAGAATAATCTAGATAGAGGGGACTTCTAGAGGACTCAATTCCATCTACTCCTCCAAGCAAGCTCTACTTTGAAGTTCTATCATATTTCTCAGGTCCTTGTACAGTCAAATCTTGAGTCTCTTTAAGAGATAGAGCCCTACAGGCACCTTTTCTGGTATGAAGATTCATGGAGAGGTTTCAGGTTTTTTGTTTTGTTTTAAGGAATATGTATGTAGTTAATTTCAAGTAAAATTCATTTTTGTGTACTTGTTTATATATAGGTTGCTCCTACTTATTTCCATGGAAACTACAAAGATCAGAACAACTCTATTCGATAGAGCAAATTTTCAGCTACAAAACACTATTTTTCAGCCAGTTACCACCATCAGCTATGCATTTTTGCCAGCAATTAACAAAAGCCTGCATGCCATGTTCTTAAACATCAATGGAGGTGACTTGCTGTCGCCACTACTGAAACACACCACCCACTGCCTCACTGCTCACATCTGCTGTTTGGTCATCATAAATGTTTGGCAAGCTTCAATGAATGTCAATGGGTGGCATTGTTTCTGCATGGGAGAAATCAGTGATGCACTATTGCTTCGTATGCACTTCCGTGTCAAATGCTTTTCTGTCCACCTGCCCCTCTGCTGCTATCTGTCACATGGCAACAACATGTAACAGAATACTGGTGGGAAGGTTCAACTTCTACTGCCATACCACCAACATCTGCCTCTGAACCTCATGGGCCAACAAAATAAAATAGGATGCATTACTTTTGGAGCGGGGCTTGTATATCTGATAGTTGTGATATGTTCATTACATAAATTTATTTCTCTACATCATAAATGGGTTATAAATGGAACAAGTTGCTACCGAGCTGAGTTCTGCAGGTTCTTAAAGAATCACGTTACAGGCACAGCACTGAAAATACAATTTCTGTTTTATGGTGCATATGAGCAACACAATCTCCCAGAACTCCGTTAAACAAAGTACTGAAGTTTTAAATACAACAACAATTTAAAAACAATTTACTTTTGTTTAGGTAGTTTTATATTTTAAATAAATATACCCTCCTGTACCCAAGTTGTGAATAACTGATGAGTGAACTTTGTATTCCTGTAGTATTATTTAAAAAACAAACAAAAAACAAACAAAAAACCATTTCACCAGCCAGTAAAATGCAGTAGTAGAAAGTCATTCTGCTCTCCCACAGACTCCTGCAAATTAGATGGCTTCTGCACTGTGTTCTCCCTTTGAAAAAATAACTGTGCTGCCTGGGACTCAGAAAGAAGAGGGAAAGTCTCCTGGGGAAAAGCCCACCCAGAACCTAGATCTCTCTTTGTGCCTAGGGACTTCTCCCTGAGCAGCCTTAGCTAAATTCTCTTGTGCTTGCTAGCTAGTGAGGAAGACATTTGCCAAGACATTTCCCAGACTTGGTTATGGCTTTAAAGGTCAGTGCAGCAGCCTTTTGCATTTATCTCAGACACAGGTAGCCAGCACTGATCCCGGAGCTCAGCTGCTGTATGACCCTGGCAGGACTCGCTGCCAGTCACAGGCTTCCACCTCTTGCATTCCAGCTGGCTGGAGATAGGGGTCTAAGCAGTACTCTGCAGAACAGACACTGATGAATGTCATCACCCATGTCAGGCAGAAATGCCATTTTCTGCCAGGTGTGCACTAAATGGAGAGCAGTTCTGATCAATCACATAAGCTAATTTTACAGCCTTTGTTCTCAGTCATGTACCTGTGTATCAGCAAAGTGACAAATGTCTGAAATCAGAAGTATCTTCCTCCCTAGCTCTCTCTCCATCACCTTAGCTGTGTCTAGTCTGTATTAGCCAGTCTTCACCCATCTATGCCCCTAGACTGCACTAAGCCTGTGTACTGGCACATAGCTAAACACTAACTTTTTCAAGAACGGATTTTATTGCAATCTATTCTGCTACGCTATTACTTTTCCATTAGGAACTTTGCCATAATGTGGGGCATCTAGTGGATTCCTCCTGGTCTAAAGTAATAATAAAAGGAACGCCTGTGCAATGCTTGGAAACAGTGGTTTATACTTTTTGGAGTGAGAACAAGGCAAAAAAAAGCTTGCAGCCTTGACAGTAGAATCGCATTCATATTTCAAAATTGACCACCTGTTGCTAAGGGAACTGAATGTAAAATCTAAGTAACACCTGGCCATGTTGCTAGACTGGAGTTTTATATTTTGTTTTTCTGAGAGTATTAGATTTGTCAGTGTTTTCTTGCAGGAGAAACGTGGAAATCATAAAGAAACCAGTCTTATGACAGCCCTTGATTCTATGGATTATTAGAAATGAGTAAAAATTGTAATAATATTATTCATCCCATCCTGATCTCATGAAAGCTTAAAAAAGAATGAAACTTTGCTTGTGTTATCAGTTTGTTTATTAATGTAAAATATTTTTTCTTGTGTCAGATAACTTTCCCCAGATGGCCCATCAGAAACGGTTCATTGAACGGAAATACAGACAAGAGTTGAAAGAAATGAGGTGGGAAAGAGAGCATCAAGAGAGAGAGACAGATGAGACTGAAGAAGCAAGGAAATAAAAGGAGGGCACGGAAGCAGTGGCATATTTACTTACCTAATAACTCTGACTGTGGCCTATGGAGACCTAACCTAGTTTTTTGCAGATGATGAATGAGGAACGCCTGTTGATATCAAATAGAAAATCATAATCTCTACTTTGAAGTGTGTATATAGTGTTTCGTTTGTTTGGTTTTAAGTATCAGGTGGTGGTTTTTTTTTTTTCTTCTGATAAGATTTGTTTTTAAATTTTAATTTTTATGAAAAGTCATGGGATTATTTTTATTCTTTTTGCTATCTTGTATGAAATAATAAAGTATTAATTTCAAAAGTCTTCAGGAGAAGAAGCTGTTTAGCAAGTCTCCTGTGTTGCATTGTTGTGTCAATTATTGCATGAACTTAATTGTGGAGGAAGGAAAAGTGATGACATACAGCATCAGCAGAGAAATTAAGTATGTACCCAACTCCACTTTTGAAGCTAAATGTAAATTTAGACTCTTCTAAATCACAACCATAAACTTTTGGTTCTTTCACGTAGACTGGTACGGTAATCTAGGCCAAAGAGATGTTTAAAACAAAAGCAAACATTTTGAACTATCCATTCCACACCTGCACAGTGGCATAGATGTGTGGAAGGTGTTCTTTTAAGTCAATATTGTAAAAGTTTGGAGGGGAGGAGAGGGAGGGCGGAGGAGAAAACAAGGTAATCTTGAAACAAAAGAATACCAGTTTTGGGTTTTTTTTTTTTTTTGTTTTTTGTTTTTTGGTTTTGGTTTTTTTTTAGAGAATATACAAAATTTGCAATGTGGTTTCTAAGAGTAGGGCAGAATTTGTTCCAGAAATATAGTTTGTAGGTGGTGTACAGTTTTAAGACCAGAACAACCAGGTCTGCTGACTTGCCTTTATGTCATCCAGTTTCTCAGTTTTCAAGTCTGAGGCTTGTGTAAGATACGTTTTTTTTTAAGGAAGCCTTTGCATGGTCCCAAATAATGGAACAGCTACTATGTCTACTGATGCTTTTCCAACCAACTATTGCCTTCATTGTGGATGTTTGTATTTCTATTTTTAATTGGCCCGCTTCACGCCATCCATTTCTGTTCTGCTGATTTGTGAGCTGAAAGTGTCACCTAGTAGCTGTTGTGTAGTCAAGTCATCTCTGCATCTTCCTTTCAAGGAAAAAAAAAGAAAACAAGATTAAATTTGAGCTCTGCCTTTTCTACCTTCTTCAGATCTTTATTTTTTTGACAATTCACTTAGGCACCTTACCAAGTGTGAATAGCAAATGTATTTGATAAGGTAACCTGGCAGATTCTTGACCATGGATACATGAATGTGACCCAGAGGATTCATGTGGGGGTTCTGAAAAAAAACAAAAACCTTTTGCACAAATCTCCATGCTACTCTAAGCAGTGTTTTCTAGCTCTAGTTTTCAGTGCTAATTCTTCATTTGTCTGAAGCACCTTTCTGTAGGTGTGTGATAGGGATCACTGGAAGCACTTTATTGAAGGGGACAAAGATCAGACTATTCAAATGTCTTCCAAAAGTTTCACTTCTGAGCTAATCAGTGTGCTTTTTTTTTTTTTTGTGAGCACAATTTTTTGTACGCATGCAACGTGAGGTGTGCTTAAGTGTTTTTAAAACTTGACCCCACAGCACTACCTCACTTCTTCCAGCTTGGATGATTGTGTTTTCTTAATGGATTGGTGCTTTAAATCCATTTCAGAGGACCAGAGAAAAAAACATTCAGTAATTTAGAGAGTGATAATAAACCATTAAAACATAAAGGAAGGGATAATAACAACAGCAAGATAAAGGCAAGGAGCTGCTCTCTGCTGGATGCTGCTGTTCTTTGACTTTTTAGAAGTGATTGCAGCTCCTTATCGCTTCTATCTGTAAATAAAAGGCTGAAATGTCTCTGAACAGCTGCAGACTTAGAAAGCAAGAAGAAACAACCCCTCTGCCCCCAAGTCTTGTATTTCAATTTCTTCTGTAGAATTGCCCCCCCTGCTTCTAGCAATAAGTTGAAGTAGTGCACTGGTAGAAGGTTATGGGTAATGGTGTGCATTGTTACTTTCTCTTAATAGAGGCCAAATAGAAGGTGCACATTCGTTTTTGTGTGGTTGCTTTGCTAATTTCATCATGCCTCATATCACCAATGGGACGTGTCAGTTTGTACTTAAACATCACTTGTCTTCTTCCCATACATTGTTCCTTACATTTTTCCTATACATTTCATTTTTTCATCTGTAAGAAGTCTGTTTCCTTTACATCAAAGCTGCAGTAATCTTTCTGACTAAAAAATGAGCTGTGAGCGTGTTTGCTAATATGAGGAAATGCACAGAATACTTACAGTGAACACAGTCCACGTAACAAAGAAATGAGGTGAAGTTTAACTTAAATTTTGGAAAAAAGATTACTGAGCTCAAGTGGATCAACAGAACTGTTGTCATATATGACTGGGCTATTTCCCTTCCTTTTTGGAGATGTGAATGTATCTCTGGCTTCTTGATGGGAAGTTCCTTTTTGTTTGCTCCAGATCCTGATCTGTTCTGACCTAGAGGTGCCGGTGCAAAATTCCTTGACTTGTTTTGGCTACAAGTAGATGTCTGAAGAACAAGACTGAGGTTTGTGTGGATCCAGAGGGTCCTGTGAAATAACAGTTTTATTATTATTTTTTTAATGATGCATAACGTGCAGATGATTGAATAATAATACAAACAAAACAGATAATTTGATTAGGAATATTAATTGAAATTGTCTAAAATTTGCCATTCTTTGCAGAGCTGAAGTTCACTTTGTGGTATTTCAGTTTCAGTAAAATACTAAAAGAGCCTTCGTTTCTAAGACTGTTGTAAACATTGCTGCTAATAAAATTTTCCAGAAGAGACTTCGGGCATGGTTGTTACTTGCTAAAACAATTTGGAAAGATCAAAAGGCGAGTCCTGATCATCTGTCTTCCTACTTCAAAGACGATTCGATTATACAGGCTGTGTATTTAAATGAAGCGATTCACTTGCGAAAAGTTTGTTTAGTGGAAGTTTATAAAGCCTGTTAGAGCTTAGGGAGTTGATCATCTACACAGTGTTTTATCTTTCGTGGAGATAGTATCGTGATAAAAAGATGGTATTGTGATAAAAATTTCTGAGACTCGTACGTCCCACCCTGCATTTTTCTCACCCTGCCCCTGACAGATTTTCTGTTTGGCATCCAGCATTGGAAACAGTTTTGCATTGATGGGAAATAGTAAATCAGAAGGTGGTCCTGTTATGTCTCATTGAAGCATTGTCTAAGCTATAGTGAAAACATTCAGTTGTAGATACCCCTGCCCTCTGTTCCCTGCAGGCCTCAGTTTAACTCTTGGAATGACCAAAATCTTACTGTGAATAGGAAAAGATGTGACTTTTATCAGTGCTTCTGGTAATTATTCTTCTCTGGTAAGCCTAGTTTAGCGTGCTGCCGGACAGGCATTCTGGATTCTGTCTGTTTATGTGATTCCTTGTTGGGATATGCAGTGAATGACATGGAAAGCAGCTATATAACAAACCGATGGCTGTGTAATGAACTTATATTACTATGCTAAAAAAGAAAAAAGTCCATAACAATGTGGTAAGTAGAGCAGTAATCAGATCCCTATCTGTCATTCTCACGTCTCAGTACCTTTAATCGTTGAGCAGAGCTGCCCATTAGACCATCTACCACTAATCTCAAATAGATTTTGCTTAAAAAAAATTGGTTACCTCCTTATATTTTGAAGATATAATGTCTCTTTGATGTATGAACACTAATTAAAATGGACTACCAGTCTAGGGGTGTGCTGGTCGTTTCATGTTGCAGGGAAGATGGAGATTTTAGTTTAGTGAAGCTTTTAAAAAATATTTCACAGCTTTCTTCCCTCGTATCCTGATGTATTCCCAGTTTGAATTACAGATGGTGTGTTTTGCAGCAAATTTTTCATCAACAGAGTACAGCTGCCTAGCAATGAAATGCTAGGTAGGACCATCCATCACAACAACTTGTTACTTGTTAGCTGGATTCCTCTTTTAAAATACTTCTCTGTAAGATGAAGCAAGGGTAGATGAATTTGCACTTGTCTTATTTTCCTTACTTTATTTTCTCTGTGGTAGCCTACCACATTGCTGTTGCAGTGAGTTGCTCAGCCAGAGGAACAAGCTTGCAGAAAAAAAAGACCTTAGTCTCTTTTGTCTGCATTTTCTGTTTTTAGGGACATTCTTGATCTGAAAGGTAATGAGCTAAGGGAAAGAAGCATTGCTGCCTGGAGTGCATTGGCAGGTATCAGCGTGCTGGAAGATCTGCTGGGGTGTCATGACAGAAGTGCAGAGAGGCTGATCTTACAGCTGCAGCCAAGTGTACTGGCCAGAACAGGTAGGCTGAGCCTGGAAAGATCTCCCCTACTGAAAAAAGAAAAAGAGTTGCTTAAAAACAAGAAAGAAAAGAGAGTCACTATCTTCTCTAGCTCACCTGGATATTTCATTCTCATGCCTGGTATTTCAGGTGCTCTCAAATTTCAGGTTTTTTCTGGGGTCCTAAAATGAAGTAGGTTATACACTCCAGCTGTTCTGATCTCCCACCCTTCAGAGAGAAAGTTCGTCTCAGAGGCACTTTCCTCCACCTGTTTGCTATTGATAACAGAGTACCAAATAAATACACTCAAACCCTCTCTAAATAGGTACGTTGCCCTTTGTCTAAATCATCTTTGCATTTCCTGAAAGGATTCTAAAATCTTTCATGAATAGAGGTATAAATGATATACCCATGACTTCCATTACAGACCTTTCTGAATGCCCCAAAAATGTGTTTTGTTGCTCTTCACAGTACCTGTGTTGAGAAAATAAAGAACTATTTATACGATTGCTGAGAAATGAAAATGAGGACATAATTGACTTTTGGGTCCAGGCCTCAAGGGATCTGCAATTGAGCAATGATGCTTCATCCAAGGGTTAAGCATCTTTTTTCTTTGAAAGCCTACATTACTCTTCATGTCCCTGAAAGCCTCTCTGAGGGAGAAAAAGAGAATATTACCACGCAGCCTCAATGATGTCACTCTCCTGCCTTTCTTAAAGGATGAGTCTTAGGAAACAATGACCAAGAAAGTCTCTAAAGTTGAGGACCCTGCTATGAGAAGCCAGGACCCAAACAGTGTGTTGCTTGTTCTCTTTGAGGAAATAAGTAAATATTTTTTTCCCTTCTAGCAGACGTTTCAAAAGTAATCTATTAACAAGAGACAGAATCTTGACCTGACAAATTGTGGGCTTTTATCAGTAGCAGAAGCAGCTCCTGTGTTGGTGGTCCAGAAGTGATGTGACAGTGATGGGTGAGTGTTTGTCATTGGCGGTAGCTTCTTACTTTAAATAAAGATGGGCATGGTGGTCATAGGAACCCATGGGACCTCTCTGAAGCCAGCTGAGCCAACATTTCTAACAAAATTTACTTCCCTGCGGACTTCCTTCTGTCATTACTTCAACCATTTACTGTGTCAGAACAGTCCTGACATGCTGACCAGACAAGTAATGTTTTTGCTGCCAACTAGAATTACAATTCAAATGTTGTGGCTCTGTTTCCAGAGGGATACTTGAACTGGCAAACAAAAAGCAACCATTTCCTAATCCAGCAGTGCTTTAAAATGCTAGTGTTATTCAGTATCCCA